GCAAGAAGCAGCTGTCTGCAAACCAGGAAGAGGGCCCCCATCAGACACCCATCTACTGGGACCTTGATCTTGGCCTTCCCAGCCTCTAAAACTGGGAGAAATAAATGTTTGCTGTTTAAATCACCTAGTCTACGCTATTTTGTTATAGAACCCAGAGCTGACTAAGACAGTCTTGTTCTTTCTCCCACCAAAATGGGGAAGGATGTTCATCAGAGGATCATAATTCCCAGTCTGCATCCAAGGGAACTGTCTGCTCCAGCCACCTCCACAGTTAGAAGTCGGAGCAGCAGTCTCTTAAGACGCCGGCATCCCAAGATCAACTTTCCCAGAACTTAGGCTTGTTTGTCAATATTGTTTAGATCTCAGGAATTTCTGTTTCCTCCTTAAGTCCTCTGCCTCATTTTCTACCACAATTCTCAGCAGCCAGCTTCCTCACCCTCAGTCAGTCCCCCACAGGAAAAGTGAGAGGAAATCTCCTATCTATATCCAAAAGAAAGAAGGAGGAGAATTAGGAGGGACATAGTTCCACGGCACAAAAGATAAAGCAAACCTATTTAAGTCTAAGTTAGTATTTCAGAATACCAGCCCTATAGGAGTAGCAAGAGACCACACCCACACAGCTCATTAACTCCACCCCTGTCTGGCAAGACACAAATCAAACATAACATCCACATGTCTACAAGACAGTAAAGAGATGTAGGGTAAGTAGGTAGTTTCCTGAGCCGGGGAGACAGTAAAGAGGCCAGCACTGTGTGAAAAAGGATGAGCACTACCTGGGAGGCAGAAGAGCCATTTCTAGACTAGGTCTTCTGCTAACTAGCTATATGACTATGGAAAAGTGACTATGAAATGGACATTTTATTGAGCACATACAGCCAGTGTACTGAGCAACAGGGGGCACAGAACCGTATACGACCACCTCTACCCTCTCTACTCTCTACCCTCTAGAATCTACCCTCACAATCTAGAGGAGGTTTTGGAGCCAGATGTCTTCAAAGGCGCCTTTCTCTCACATTTAGTGAATCTGTGCACCATGTCCATGGTAAACAGCTAATAACTGTATTTTTAAGAGACTTAAGATTCTTTGGAAGGCTCTTTATCATCATACCTAAGTAGTTAATCCTACAGGGCCACAATCATCCAGTTAGTGGGCTTGGCCATAGTTTTACATCACACCTGACTTCAAGCCTTCCTCTTGGTGCTCAATATTTGTGCAGAGAAGAGTTTCTGCACTTAGAGTTCAGTTGGGGCTCTTTATTAAATATTATCATAATACTTTATTAAATACTTGGGTTGCATATGGTCTAATAATACACCAATCCTGAGCCTTTCCCCTTAATCACTTTCTCCTGAGGATGTCTAGTAAACTTTCCTTTGATGAGAAAATTCCATTTCACTATTACAGTAAATTTCTCTGACCTTTCTCTGTTCCCAGCCCACTTGGTTAGCTCGTTATTACACAACAGACATTCATTTGGCAGCGTACATGCTTTACTCTTCCAGTCAAGGCTTCCCTGTCTTGAACCTCATTGATCTGTTATGTACCTAAGGCCCATCTCCTAGAATTCAGTACAAGTCTCCCCTCATCAGGATGCATGGAAATAACAGTGATAACACAGCAGTTCTTTATGTTTGTCCTTTCACAGGAAATTGTCCTCAGCCTGCGAATCAAAAAGAACAGTTTATTGCTCTTTCTTCTCCTGCCCACCTTCTCACCTTCAGGCCCTATTCCTTCCGAAACAATGACCGTCTTTCCATCTGGTCTTGTTAACCCATGGCTGAAAAAAGCAAATTTTCTTGTGTGGTTGACACTTTGAGTGTAAATCTGGAGCTGTGCAGGAATAAATAAAAGACAAATTGTAGTTGCTGTGGTTGTCACAGGAGGGACTCCTATCATGCGATCAGCTTTCTTGTCCCCAAATGTGCGAACTGCCTGACAGACCAAGGTAATTGAAAGGCGTGCATATACCCTGGTTTTTCAGATATTAATGGAAATTGCTTCCGACTGCAGTTGCTTTCTGGCTCAGTGTTCTAAAAGAGAAACAGGTCATTTCATTTCCTGCAAAGTATTGAAGACACTTTAACCAGTCCATCAAGGAAGAAAAGTCTCAGTGGAGTGGTAGGTCGCAGGACTGACGTGGCTGCTCGGTTCTGCTAATCCTATACTAAGAATGGTCCAATCTCTCTCTCTCTCTCTCTCTCTCTCTCTCTGCTCTTCTTTTCATTTCTATTCTCTTCTCTTGTCTATACTCCCCCTCTCTCTCCTACTTCAGAGAGAGAAAGAGTAGTACATGCACCTGAAGACCACTTCACCTTGTACCCAAAGTATGTAGCATCTTAGTTTTATTATAGTTGCAAGGACCACCTCCACTAGCTATTATGCTCATCTTACAAATAATCCAAACTCCTATGATGAGTTATTGTGTGTGTGAGTATGTAGATATAAAAAACTTTGGTAGGTATAGAAAGAAAATGTAGAACAAATGTTAAACTATGGAGTTCAAAAATATTGATTAATATACAAATTAATCTTAACCAAAAGGAAAAGTTGATTAACCATTTATGTGCGGGCACATAATAAGCTGTTTCAGGGAATGCTGGGTAAACCAACTGCCCAGCATCTGCGTCTCTGAGCAGCTAGTTAGCATCAGGATGGGTTCACGATTCCCATATGAAGCTGAGATTACCCACGATCTGCTTGGCAGAGAGGGAGAGCCTGCAATCAAATTAGCCAGTTACCTGGCTAGTTGCTAGTAGCTCAGAGTTCCAGGGGTCATTTTTCAGATAGTCCTGCGTGCCACTCTGCAGCCCCGCCACACCCCATCTGAATATCAAGAACCTTCCCTTTGTTTTGAAGGAGATTATAAGCATCCTGGACTGTTGATGGTGGGGAGGGAGATTACGTGCAGACCAGTTTGGATGCGGCTCACTAAATCTCAGGGCATCGATAAGCAGCATTTCTGCCAGTCAATGTTAAGAAATGTGTGGTGTGTCACAAGAAGGCGCTGTCCAATGCAATTAGGGGATCTTCCAAAGTGGCTTCTCTGCCCAGGTGACTTACAGGGTCCACTTAAATTGTGAGTAATGGTTTGTAGGATGTGGCTTGGCTCCCATGTAGCTCCCTGAAGCTAGTGATGGTTAATGCACCAGACAATTCCTTCCTCTCCATGTTCCCCCCTAGGTCCAAATGACTTTAATCTCAGTACTTTCTGCCTTCTCCTCCAAGGTTATTTCTATCCTAGCCCAGGTGAACTTCACCTGGTCTGAAGCAGAGAGAAGGGCAGACAGGGGGAATTCTTACAGTCCCTTGGTTCTCTTTGCAATCAATTTTCACAGCACAAGTAGTCCTCCTAGCTTTCCTTAAAGCTTTCTATTTAAATGTTCCAGAACTTCTTTTGGAACTTTCAAAACATTTTGAAAGATTCAATGTTGAAAGTTACTTTCTCCTTGCAGACCTGCTGCAACAATCCTAATTCTCTCATAGACAATTGCAAATGTCTCTAACTAGAGGGAAGGTCAAGGATAAGAATGTTCAGAAAAGGAAAAAGAAGCATGATACTTAGTATTTCACGACAGCATCTCTCTACAGCCTCATTCACTGCTCACCTCCTTCTCCACCAACCGCTCGTTAATCCCTTGCTTCTCCTCCACTAACTCTGGGAAACTTCTTTCTCAAACCTCTTAGTTGTCAAATCTGCTAGTTTCCTTTTTTGGACCTCATTCTCTTATAGCATTTGCTAATGATGACCGTATCCTCTGTATTAGTTAGGAAAGGAGAGTGGTGGTACATAAGTAGTAGACATTTAACTCCATACTAACTTAAGAAAAGAGGAGAAATTATGGAAGGATGCTGATCTATCTCCTCCCAATCAAATTACTTGCTCAATTCTTTGTTTGGGGATCTGCATCTGGGCCCGGCATTTTCAAATCTACCCTCCACCCATGGTGGAAATTAACTCCGTAATACCTCTAACAAACGCAGTTGGCCTCAAACATTTCTGAATATTATTGTTTCCAATCAATTTAAATCAGCCTCCTTGTAATTTCCACATATTATATCTGAATCTTCACTCAAGGGACAATTCGGCATACACATTTTTTCAGGTAAGAACATATTGGTACAGCCATTGTGGAAAACAGTACGGAGGTTCCTCAAAAAATTATAAATAAAATTACCATATGATTCAACAATTGCCACTACTGGGTATTTATCCAAAGGAATTAAAATCAGAATCTCAAAGAGATATCTGCACTCTTATGTTCATTACAGCTCTATTCACAAAAGCCAAGATATGGAAACAACCTCACTGTCTATCCATGGATGAATGGATAAAGAAAATGTCGTATATACCTACAATGGAATGCTATTCAGCCTTAAAAGAAAAAAGAAAAGAAAAGAAAATCCTTCCATTTACAACAGTATGGATGGTCCTGGAGGACATTTATGCTGAGGGAAACAAGCCAGATAAAGAAAGAAATACTGTGTGATCTCACTTACATGTGGAATCTGAAATAGTCAAACTGTTAGAAGCAGAGAGTGGAATGATGGCTACCAGAGGCTGAGGAGAGAAAGAAATGTGGAGGTGATGGTCAAAGGGTACCAAGTTTCAGTTATGCAAGATGAATAAGTTTTGGAAATCCACCACACAGCATCACTATAGCTATGTGCTAGCTATAGGACCTATAGCTAACAATACTGTAATATATGCTTAGAATTTCTAAGAAGGAAGAGCTTATGTTAAGTGTTCTTACCACAATAATAATAATAATATTGGGGGTGGGAGGAAACTTTGGGAGGTGATGGATATGTTTATGGCCTTTATGGGTATATACTCATCCCCAAACTCATCAATTTGTATACATTAAATATGTACAGCTTTTTACATGTCAATCATACCTCAATAAAATAGTTTACAAAATAAAACTATACTAAAAAAGAGCACGTTAGCCATTATTCAAGGAAAGATTCTTTAAAATTAAACATAATACAGATCAAAAACTTCCAAAGAACAGTACCTTTAATGAGCTTTTTAATCATTTTAACTAAAATTTTGTTGAAATGCATCAATATCAAAAAATACAGAGATATTATTTGTATATAAAAGCATATTTTAAATTCCATTTAAGCCCACTCATTTCACCTCCCATAGCTGCTTTTTTGTTTCAATGGAAGATGAATAAAGAATAAATAGAAGGCCAGCGCTTCAAATTGATCTACCTAATAGCTCCCTGAAAACCCTGGGTATGTATCCACATTAGAGAAAACTGTTCTCTCACATGCACCATCGCTCAATCGCCCAGGCATGAACTGATCCTTCCTACAAGCGGAAAGGGGAGGCGAGGGGAAGAGCAAACTGCAGGTCTTGTGTTTGACACATACTAAAGAAAAACCCCAAAGAGAAGACTGAATTGTGTTTGGGCTCACATAAGAAGGCAGGAGGCGCCCCATGACCATAGCGTGATGAATCCCGCTCTGACATTTCAGTGGTTCAATCTCCGGACACACGTGGGGCTTGAGTCAACAAGGGGAAGCGTGAGATTACTACTTGGGACGGAATCATTGCATCTGTCTTTTCCCATTATAGTCCCCTTCCTATTTGGTTTCACCGAGGGAGGTCAACCTCTCTGATGTTTCTGTTTCCCTAATCAATTTTTAGAGTGCATTCTGGCCCACAGAGAGGTCAGTTATACCTAAAAAGAGTGGTAGGGCTAAATGGAGCATTCGAGTTTCTCTGGTCTAATCCTCTAATTTTCAGATTAAAAAGTCAAGGTCCAAAGAAGTTAGCAATTTTTCCAACACACCGTTAGCTCATGCAAAGATTCATGAATATTCTTCATCCTGACGGGCATTTAAAAAAAAGAAGAAAGAGTATCCGGATTCAGGTTTGGGGGAACAAGGGGTTGTGTTCATGCAGGTGGCTGGAGCCGAGGACAGAAGCAGACACCGGAGCGGAAGGAGAAAGACTATGCCTCCACGCTGGGAAAGCTGTCTGAAGTGCCCCAGCTATGCAGATATTTTAATTCGGCAACAGCGTGCTGCTGGATTCCGAGCAAGCCACGGGGCACCTGGGAGCCTACTGGGTTCCTGCTGCGCAGGGCGTTATGCTGGTGACAGAGATGCTCTGCCCCCCGCATCGAAGGGTGCCAGCCTCACACTCCGTCATCGTCTGCTCCTTGCCATTCACTTCCACACAGACGCTAAACCCTTCTTCCTCACACTCCGATGCTTCTCTGCAGACACATTTGCTGCTCTGGTCTGGAAAAATAAGTAAGAGAGGCTTAATGGCCCATCGCGACGTCGGGCGAGCCCAGGCACATTATCTCGAAAGTCACGATGTGGTGATGAGAGAGCTACAGAAGCTCCTGCCTGGAGTAATGCAGTCAACCACCCCCGGGAAAGGCAGTAGGACCAGGAAAGCGACGCATTTTGCTCCGCTCAGCATAAACAGGTTTCGAGGTTGGTGCCAGGATTTCTATTGGGTGGACCGACTTGGGGTGGTTCTCTCTTCCATGCTGCTGCCCATGTGAACCAGAAACTGAGGGACGGAATGAGAAGACTTCCACAAAGAGCTGAGAGACAAGGCTCTGAGAAACAAACAAAAAAGACTTCACCTTGCTTGGAGATAGAGGGCATGAAACGCAAAAGGCTACACATCCCATAAAAACAAACCAGAAATGAGTTAGGGAGGAAAGTTAGGGAGAAATGAGTGTGTGCAGAAGGTGAGAGGCTGTAATACCCAGCCAGGTGTCTCCAGAAGGAGAGAAACAAGGTCAGCCAGCCGACTGTGGTGACAGCCAAACCAGAACTGACCCAGACGTGGCTAGAGTTAGATACGTCACCGTCTGCGCTGCAAACCATAAGACTAAGGGGAAGGGCGCCCGGCGGATACAGGCCAGCAGGAGGAGGGCCTGAAGAGCTGACAGAGACCTTACTGATCACGTAGTCCAGCTCCCAAATTTCCAGTTGGGGAAACTGAGGGCAGTGACTTGGCGCCACAACCCAGCGCCTCCCCCTTCGTTCTACAGCGAAACCCTGGGAGGTGTGTCCTGGCAGTGGTGATGGTGTTCAAGATCGCTATGAGCGCTACTTGGACATAGCACTAGCAAATATTGACTCGCAACTTGAGAAAGTAACTCTTTCCCCTATTCTCTTCAAATCCTTCTGATTACTTTTAGGAGGGTGTCAGCTTGGCACTGGTATGCTTTTAACACCCCTCTAACACTTGCTAAACTCCTTTATCCCAAAGAAACAGCATCCCTCAAGCTCCCAGCAGCATCTGGCTAGAATCTACCAACCTTATTTTGTTTCATTATATGCATTTTTCTAGTTACCTAATATTTACGGCAAGTGATATTTCCTTTTAAGAAAGTGATATAAAGTTATTTTTATGGTCTATTTTTTAAAATGAGTACCTAACATGTATAGTACAAGGACAGAGCAAAAATCCTGAAGGTGGAATGGGGATCACTGAGGTTTGGGAGGACATTCAGACCATCAGGGATGGGTTCTTGTCCTCTTCTGTGCCTGATCCACCCTGCTCCCCACGGAGTGCAGGCGGGGAGGGCGGTTCGCGCTCACACCAGTCTGAGTCTCTCACATCTTCAGGGATCTGCTTTGATCTGGTGCTAAACTAGAAAACTACATTTTCAAAAACTACTACTTTCGCATTCTTATAGTTACAAATATGAAATGCCCCTTACCATCACATTTTCCCCATAGTGGACACACACCGCAAGCTTTCTCCGCGGAGGCAGGCAGAGAACAGCTCTCTCTACCTGTAAGAGTATAATTTCTGCCCTGACAGCGGAGAACATGCATCTTGCAAACTGTCAGAGGCAGTATCCTTTTGGTCTTCTCATCTCGAGCACATACATCCAAGGAGGATCTGAAACAAATTTTTTAAATTACATTATTTACAAAGTTTTCACTCTTAAAAGCTGAGGATGAGAAGTGAAAGGGGAGGCTCTGAGCTCAGTGCCTCAAATGGTATCACCCACAACAAAATGATAGAGCAAAAACTCAAATCCCCTTCATTCCTGGGGCCCAACCCCCTTAGATCTTCAAAATGAACCTATTTCAGTCTTTACGTGTTCACAAATTATACAAGCTTGGATATCTAGTGTATATCCAGTTTTCTCTAGAATAGCTCAGATACAGCAAATTGGAAGAGAAGGCAAGGTCTGTTAGGGACAGCTGGTGGCTTGACAAAGAATGAGACAGAAAATCAGCAAAGATCAGACATTCAAATAGTTGAATGAGACCACTGACTGCAGGAGGAAGCGGCTCCTCGAAGCCCGGCAACCTTGAGAGTTCATGTCCATAATACAGCAATGGCCAACAGTTGTGGGCTGAATTCTCAAGGGAAAATGAAACTGTGTTTTTCAATGCTATTTTTTAAAGTATCTATGTTTAGGGGCTAACCCAGTGGCACAGTGGTTAAGTTTGCGCACTCTGCTTTGGCAGCCCCGGGTTCATGGGTTTGGATCCCCGGTGTGGACCCATACATGGCTCATTGTGCCATGCTGTGGAGGCATCCCACATACAAAATAGAGGAAGATTGGCACAGATGTTAGCTCAGGGCCAATCTTCTTCACCAAAAAATTTTATTTTTAAATCTATGTTTACAAAATAATTTAGAAATATTTCCATAAAAATTTTTGCTTTCTTAAGCATTGGTGCTAAAATGGTGAGATCCAGGTTTTCAGAAATGTTACTAATAAAAACAACCACATTTCTGAAAGCTGATGGATAAGGAAGGCATTACTGTACTGAAACCTTAGACAACAAGGTATTTTTATATAGTAGACAGTGTCTATTTTTATTTTTATATATATTTAGCTCTACTATTTTCTTCTCCAACCAAGAGCTAAATTTACTTGGAGTTATTTACATAACAAAAAGAAATCTTTGTACCTCTCTTTTATCTGCTTATTTAAACCTTGAATAGAAATACTCAAAACAGCTTAAACACAGAGACTTTACAAGGCCACCTTGTTATCAGTATCTGATATGGAAACTCACACCATGTCTATAAACAGCAGGCTGCAGACAAACTAAATGAATCTGGAGAAGTTAGAGGATTAAAGCGAATCAAAGTAAACAATGATAAATAGAAATTAACAGCACAGTCAGAATATTCTGGGCTGACCGCTATTGCCATTTACACTACTGAGTTGTATTATCCTTCTCACAAGAAGTTACTTCTTATAAGACCCCATCATAGTGACCATTACTCACTGTAGGTGTTCAAGGAGTTGGATATGTATTTTGATGACAATAACAATTAAAAGCCAAGTAATTGATCAGTAAATTTGTATTTTGATTCTTAACCTTAAAGAGGACCAAAAAGTCTGGGGGCCAGGATGGCTCCCATTTGCCTCTCCACCTTCACTCTCCATTCTTCTCCACCCCGCCTGGGAGGCTGACAGGTAGGGGCCATATCAATAGACTTGCTTGTCCTCTAGCTTCAGGTGGTTTGATCAAAGGGGAGCACTGGCAGGAGATTGGAGGGAGGGAAGAGAGTGCAGCTGGAGTGTTTATTCCCCTAGCTCACTCTTGGGGGATCTCTGAGGTCCCTAAAATGAGGACTCAGCTCCTCCTCAGCTGCCATCTCCACATAGCCTTCTCTGTCTTCAGTTTTCTTACATGCTCCTCCCCTCACTCCTTCAGGCCTGGGCATGGATACATACCCGAGCTGTCACCAGTCCAGAGTACCACCCTGTGACGTGCAGCTTCCTTTACTCTGAACACTTGTGTAAATAGTCCCACCAATAAACCTCTTGTCCTAATTTAACCGTGCCATCTGTATCCCACTAGGACCACGGCACAGACATCTGGTAACTACTTCAGATACCCACTTACAATGGAGTGATTTCAAGTTGGGTGGCATTCCTGCAATGCAAATCTGGAGACGTGGATATTTCAAGAACCAGAAAAGCAGCTGCTTTTTGGTCTATCAGTATTGCTTTAAGAGTTTACGTCTCAAGGGAATTTCAGCCGTGATCCTCTCATGCTCTAAATCCTTAGGCAGCAGCTTTGTCATGTTGCCCCATTTTATATATGGAACAAGCAGTGCTCAAGTACTGCTTCAGCCTTCCTCACTAGCCAGTTTAGAACACTGCTTAATGCCACCAGTTGTCAGTCCTGGTGACCCAGGCAAGTAACAGGCAGCAGATGGGCCACATTAAAATGCAGAGAGCCTTAACTCTTGGTAAGCAACACCTTCAATCTAACAAAGACTAGCGTCTGAGAAATCATTTCATTTATCTCGAATAAAACAAAATGAGAAGTGAGCAAAGACAGAGCTTACCCACACTCATAGGGCATTTTACAAACACATCTTGAATTCTTTAGTTTCTCCCAGCGCTGACATGCAGGCACTGTGTGTGTCGAAGGGGCCCCTAAAAGAAAAGGATGAGGATGAGAAGAGGAGGCAATCATTAGGAGAAGAACTTCTTCATGGTAAACAAGGCATTATTCCAATTGTTGAATCAGGCTCTGTAATATTCTCAACTGCCACAAGTTTGTACAGTAAAAAAGTAAATCTTTAAAGCATTTTCCAAGAGAGAGAGCATTCTACAAATAATTTCACTGATCCTAATAGCTACCATTTCTGGAGCATTTTCTATTGGCCATGCACTTCTTATACAGTGTGATATTTAATCCGCCTCAACAAATGCCCATTTAAGAGATGAAGAAACTAAGGGTCACAAAAGTTAGGAAATTGGTGCTAGTTCACACATTTAACAAGTTGACCAAGCCAAGATTTAAGTCCATATTTGTCTGAATCCAAGGCCAGTAGAGCAGGCTCCCTTTTCTCAAGAAGCTGGTGCTGACAGACTGTTGTCTGGACCTCATTTTGCCCACTGTGCTTATAATGGGACAGGCAGCAGCAGCATAACTTGACTTATACATGGCAAACTCCATGGTATCCCGAGGAGATCCATAGTAACCTCTTACATGTAAATGTCCAAGTGGTGTCCGCTCAACAGTGAGTAAATGCCTGGAGTTACTTACATTCATAAAATCCTTTCCACTGCTTTGTGTTTTCTACAAACTGATTAAAAGTCAATCAGCTGGAAAACACCTTGGTCCAGCTTACAAGAGCACACTCTGACTGCCATCTCTTCAGCTATACCTGATTACAATGTGAATGACCTAAAGCACTCCACTATGTCCACCTCCTGCCAGCTTCATTACAACAGAATCCAGTGGCATATACTTTCCCACCATAACACTATTACCTGTTGGATATATCTATAAAGGTAGTTTAGCAGAAAAACATGTTCTTATGGATGCACAAACTATGGATTACTTCCTTACTTTGGAAAACTTAAGAACTTTAGACATGAAGGTAAAATCTCATGAACAATTCATAAACCTGTAAAAATGGTAGCCATATGAAGCATGTCTGTCACGTCCAGCAATATCTGTAATAAGTATTCATTCTTTAAAGACTTCCCTTTAAAATGATATTATCCTAAATGGAGTGTAGTATCTTGAATTGGATCCTAGATCATATACGATATTAGTGAAAAAACTGGTGACATATGAATAAAGTCTGTAGTTTAGTCAATAGTATTGTACTAATATTAACGTCTTCATTTTAATCTATTAAATTATGTCAAGTCATGTGAGATGTTAATATTATGGGAAGATGGGAAAATTTGGAAAGATGGGTAAACTACAAGGAAACTATATTTGCAACTTTTCTTATTGCAAAATAAAATGTTTGTTAAAATGGTGTTACCTAGATCAGCACTTCTCAACCAGGGGCCATTTTGCCCTCCCCCCTCCCCCAGGGGACATTTAGTGATGTCTGGAGACATTTTTGGCTATTATAACTGGGTATGAGTTTTCTACTGGCATCCTAGTAGTGTTCTATAAGTGTCCTACTGGCATCTAGTGACAAGGACTAAACATCTTACAATGCCCAGGACAGGCTCCCACAACAAAGAATTACCAGACCCAAAATTCCAATAGCATAGAAGTTGAGAAATTCTAATCTAAATGTGCCAAAACTAAAGTTCAATGACAAAGCTGTGTAACTTAGTTCTGCATTATGATTGGAAGTTTATTTGCTGGAAGCGGGGGCATGGGAGGGGACTTGGAGGAAAGTAGTCACAGGGTACAACCTTCCAGTTCTGAGACAGATGGGTACCAGGGAGGCAATGATCATTACGATCACTGTGCTAACACTGCCGCATTGTGCACAGGAAGGTTGCTGGGAGGGTGGATCTGAAGAGTTCTCATCACAAGGAGAAATTTTTTTTCTTTTCTTCTTACTGTATTTTTGTGAGATGATAGATGTTAACTAGACCTATTATAATCATTTCACAATATACGTGAAGCAAACTATCACACTGTACACCTTGAACTTATACAGTGATGTATGTCGAATTATTCCTTAATAAAACTGGAAAAAATATTTTTAAAAAGAAGTTTATTTGCTTATCATTCATAAGGATGAAATTTTAGATTTTAAAAGTTATTATAATTTGTGCAAAATCACTGATGGAATTACCTGCAGACTTTTGCATTTGAGAAGAACATCGCTTGGTTATCTTCATAGCTCGGTTAACCAAATAAACATGCTCTTAGGGCCCACCTACAGTATCTACCTTTACTGTCTCAAAACCAAATATCTTCACTTCAAGACCGAATGCAGACGGGAGGAGGGGGAAATAAAGGGTTAGTGTTTAATGGATACAGAGTGTCAGTTTGGGAAGATGAAAAGGTCCTGGAGATGGATGGTGGTCATGGTTGCAAATAATGCGAATGGACTTAATGCCACTGAACTGTGCATTTAAAAATGGTTAAAATGGTACATTTTATGTTTTATATATTTTACCACAATAAAAAAAAGACTAAATACTTTTACAACAGTATTTTGCAACATCACCTTTGGAGGATGACAAAGCTGGAATTTTTGGTTTGTTATAGGCATATTTTCAGGGTAGTTATTATTGTTATCCACATCTTTCGAAAAACACACAGGTCTGAAAAACATCCTTAACTAAAACTTTAATGGAATTTGCTCCTGAGTGGGAGAAAACTCATACCAAATTGTGCTATAAAGGGACTGAAGCAGACAATTTAGAAAGATAAGTATATGATCTCATTTGGAATAAAAGAGCAACCTCATCAACTGTACATTGTTCTCTTTAATTTTAGAATTACTGGTCCAGGTCCATTCCTTCAACTATCCCAAATAAATTCATATTTATGCATCAGTGCATGTAGAAAACAAAGCACTTGTCTCTGATGTGGGCCTTTGACAGCTAAAGAGCACGTGGGCACTGGCGTGGTGGGCACTGCGTTGGCCATGCTGCCCCCTGTCCTGAGGTCGATGATCATTCACCACCACGACCCCCGCCCACCGTCAGCCCCGGAGCGCCCAGCGCAGCCTGCTCTCTCTCCAGCTGTCACCACCTAATGCGCCTGATAGTCCCACTCACAGAATCCAGCCCCTCGCCCTCACTATAAAAGACAGTTCCAGCACTGAATTAAAAATCTTACACTTGAGACATAAGAATACCGTACAAAATAGAATGCAGGTGAGTTTTTCTCCTTTCCTCTTTTTAATTGTTACAAACATATATTTTCCATTTATTTTAAAAAATGTAAACAAAGAAGAAATAGGAGATTATTTTAAAAACAAATCCATCCCATCTTGAATATCTCTAAAAAGAAATCTTTTGGCTTTCTACATCTCTTCCTACCTTAGCTTCTTAAAAGGCCATTTTAATTTGCCTGGTGTTCAAAAATACCAGATTTTTGGATTTCCTCTATTAAGAACAACTTCACAAACCACAACACTTTTCCTTCAGTAATTTCTGCTTTGCAGTGCTAAGTGCAAATTCTTTTAAATTTTCGATTTCAGTAATACTAATAAACTCTGAGAGCCCAGAAATGAAACATACTAAATTTTATATAAATTATGATCTCAATTCTGTACTTAACAAAAGTACAATTAAAAAATCAGGATGAAACCAGAAATCAGCTCTTAAAAATTCTTTATTTTCGGGGCCAGTCCTGTGGCATAGTGGTTAAGTTTGGTCTGCTCCACTTTAGTGGCCCAGATCATGGGTTCAGATCCCAGACATGGACCTACACCACTCATCAGCCACGCTGTGGTGGCAACCCACATATAAAGTGGAGGAAGTTTGGCACAGATGTTAGCTCAGCACTAATCTTCCTCAAGCAAAAAGAAGAGGATGATTGGCAACAGATGTTAGCTCACGGCTAATATTCCTCAGCAAAAAAACAAAAGAAAATTCTATTTTCTTGGCAACAAAACAGATATAAAGCTAATCTTTGAAATGAAGGATTTAAGTTAAAATTTCAGAATCCTTAGGGTTATTCTTGCCTTCTCTCGCATTCTATGACTCTACCTTTGCCATGTGAAAAAAGTCTGTTACCCAGTCTATGAACTGATCTCCTTCTTGTAGAGGGGCAGGGGTAGAGGGAATGAGTCACAGATATGGTGATTTGGTGCCATAAAGGATGGCCACAAGGCCTGTAACTTGCCTGAGTGCAGATGTCCTTGGACAGAACCAGGAGCTGCTCACCTTTTTGCACACACCGGACATTCTTTATCTCAGGACTCCACTTAAGGCTGGATCCACAGAGAAATGCTGAAGGGCCTTCTAAGGACATGCCACCTGAACAGGAAAAGGTCACCTTCTCACCAACTGTGTAGAAAGGTTTGTGGGGATGACTCTGTATGCCATCCGTCAGAGCAGGTAGAACACAGGCAATTTCTAAAGATAGAGGAGAGCAGAACACAAGGGTCATTGCTTTCCTAAGCCATCTTTTTAAAGAATAACAGCCTTGAATGGTGCTGGTACACTTGCTCTGCCTTATCACATTTGAGGACAAGGAGGAAGAGATGAGTTCACTCTTAGGGTGCCTGAAAGACATGTCCCACAATGCCTGGCATGTAATGACCAATGAATGACTGAAAATCAAAACTGTTCCCACCCTCCCACCCTGGCTGTCAAAGCAATGTGACAACTTAAAATGAATAAGCCTTATAAACAGAACAGGATCCAAAGCATTTAAAGAAGTAGATTGATTGTGGTGGACCTCTAGAAATTGAACTCTAAAGAATGTCCTGATAGTCTTAGCCAGAACTGAGCACCTGGCCTATTCTAATTAGCACTAGAAACTTGAAAATTGCAATAAAATGTGCCTTGCCTAACAGAGGCACTATCAACTAGAGACTGCTGAGGGCTTTTTCAAGACACAACCGGAACCAGGACAAGATCATATGAGCCTTTCAGGAAAGTGAGGTCAAGACATGGGGCATAGGGTGAGCAGTTATTTATCTTGATTCATTCTCTCCCACATTATTCTCTCATCTTAAATTACATACTACAACCAAAGCAACTCACTCTGACAATGCATTTTCCCAACAAGCCACTGTAAATCTTCTCCACATCTGGCAACAGGGTCTCCAACAAGAGAGTATCCTTCATTGCAAGTATACACTATGTTTTTCCCAACAGGAAACATGGCACCTTCATCCTAAACAGAAATAAAAGATGGAAGAGAAAGAGTATGTCTATTTTGCATTAACAAAATGTTTCTTTAGATATATTTGGCCTATAAATAATGCGTTCTTTTAATCATCAGGCAACATACATTGAAATCACTGATTTGGAAAATTGTCTATAAAAATGTTTTCCCTTTATAGTCCTAGCCAACAACACTGGTACCACCATTAATTGAAATAAACATTAATGCCACTATAATTTGTTGATTGTTCCCAAAGTACCAAGCACTATACTTAGCATTTTACCAAAATTACTTTAGTGCCCGAGTAACTTCTTTCCCTCATACTTTCAGGAAAAGGCAGTTTGTTATCAGATTTTGGAAATGTCCTTGTCAGTCAAGTGTTCATAATAATGCGTTATGGGCTATTCATTGGCAGTACTGCCTAATAAATGCCAGTATGGAAAATGCTCAAATGCAATCAGCATGTTCTTGAAAGCTTAAGTTTCTCACTGAAGACTTTTAGGGGAAATTCCATGTTGATTTTCTCCCACCCCACCGTCCAACCCCCGCCCTGTAAGGGAAGTACTGCTGCAGCTGGGTCAGATTCAAGGACATGTCATTAGCCTAGATTGCCAGCGAGTGAGCTTTCATGGGAGCAAGGAAGAATTTGAAGCATGAGCCTTGAGGGGGTAATCATGCTCGTTTGAGATCTCTCTTGGTTCTTTCCCTTGTCCTTTTGGTTCTCTGCCACCCAAGATGATAGTGAAGAAAATCGGCCTTGGAGAGAACTTGGAGCTGGACCAGATCTGCTATAGGCATACGAACAAAATTCTGTGGTGCCTCCTTTCCTCACTGTCACTCCTGGCTCAGCCTGGCTCCATCGTGGGAGTTGGTAGGAAGCAGAGGGCCCAGGTTGACATGGAGGTTTGAAGAAAATAGGGAAAGCCACTTGATCTGCTTTGGTTCTAGCCCCTAGGCCTTCCTCTGCCTTGCAAAAGGGACTTCTGCATGGGGAAGTCAACTCAACAGTGTCCAAAACCACTAGTAGCAATTAAAAAAAGAAAAAAAGGAAAGACTCTCAGGATCTACCATAAACCTACAGAATGAGAAAAAATGGAGGACGAGGGGCAAACGGCAATCTCTATTGTTAAGTTCCCTGGGTGACTGTGACGAAGCCCCTGCATGGAGCAGTGTTGGGAATCCCTGGCGCCTCAGACAACACCACGTGCACTGAAGCTTGAGACAGCAGCTTCATGGTTTGCTGAAGTATGTGAGTTTGTTTGGCCTCATTCTCCAAAAATATGTTTCCTTCAGGAACTTCATGGATTGTGGTGACTGCAGTGGGACAGTATGAGTGTTAGAGATGCTAGGTTCACCCTCTCTCTCTCTCTCTCTTTATACACACACACACACACACACATACACACCTCTTCCATCTCCCAACAGTACCTACATTTGGGGAACCTTCAGCAAAATCTCAGTGTGTGTTCAAGGGCCTGGAATTTGAGAGGCAAAATCCTTTGTCGAGAAAGCAAGGCTGGCAGCACTGAGAGAGTCCTGATGAACAATATCTCCTATGTGCGCCATGAGGAGACTTCACTGGGGCTTGAGGCCAAAGCCTCATCATAACAAAGAGTGAAAAGAGCACAAATTCATATGACCCCAAAGCCAAGAAAATTCCCTAGAATGACAAGGGCACATGACTTGTGTTCCTTCCCAAACAAGAAAATTGCTCCAAGCACAATGACCCATATCTCACCAACACTGGCTAAATGTCTTATCAGTTCCGAGAATAAAGCTAATACTTCATCCCAAACCCCATATTTATGAAAAATGAAAAAGAACTTCTTTCAGTGGCAAGAATAGGGAAAGTACTCTGTGTTGAGGAACGTGCTTATAGAGTCCTATGTTAGTGTTCAGAACAGAAATGTTCAGCAGCCCTCTGGCATGACTACATTTCTAATTCACTAAGCAACAGTATGGAGTCAGCTTACCACAGATGATATACTGCCTTCTGCAGAATTCTAATCACCTTCAGCCAAAGGAGAAAAGTCACAAATGAAAACCCTCACCACTAAAAGTGAAATGCACACTTACAATACTTTTAGCACTATTTCATCATGGAAGAAGGAAATAGATTATAACATCAGTAGTGAGATAACACTTGGAGCAAAGGGTATGAGTAAAGGAAAAAATATCTTTCATAACCAACTTGAACAAATCCATCTTTCAAGGCTGGAGGTGACGAACAGAATTCTGTCGGAACCAAAGACAAAGGAAAACAATGAGGTTCAAGCAATCTGAAAGGAAAAGGAAATAAAACTAAATTAATGTGATGGATTTCCACAGTGTAATAAACATTGTGTACCACAGTGAATTCTTCATTGGCATCTGAAGGGACTCCCTCCATGTATGTATTGATGTGATATTTTTGTCATTCTCAGAACCAAATATCTGATCACATCCTGTGACAGAAAATTCAAATGTAAACGCAAGCTTCCAAAGGATAGCTATAAGGTCAGTAGTATGAAAAACAGAAAGAAAAGGGAAAAAAAACTAAACTACTTTATGTGACTTCTAGAGGTCACCTTCTCAGACCTGCTTTTTCTCCTGCTGTTTGGTTCTGAAATTCCTTTAACAGAAAGTTAATTCTGTATTAAAAATAAGGTAATTAGAGCAAGTGATCCTGCGAGAGAGGTAACACAAAATAATTACTTCTGATTGAACATTACTATGTGCTAGGGACCTTGGCTCCACAAATGTGCTCTACAAATGTGCATTGTCTCCATTCACATTCACGGTAACCCTCTGAGATACGTGGAGAAATCAGGCTCAGAAAGTTTGAATAACTTGTCCAATGTTATAAAGTAAAACATATCAGGGCTGGATTCATATCTAGTCAGTTAGGCTCCTCAAACCATGCTCTTTCTACCTCTCACAAGGCAATTTCTAGAGGGAGCTCACAGTCATGAGAATGATAACAGTGATATTCATCATTAAACAGTGGTTTCCAATAGCACCTCTGAGGTCAATATACCATCAGTATTATCTCCACTCAGGAGATGCGAAATCTGAGGAAAGCATCACAAACGGCCTGTGTGTCGCTCTTTCTCAGTTGAGTTCCTTATCCTCTTGCCACACTCTGAAGAAACCCAGAAATGTGAAGTATTGATCGTCACTTTCCTCCCTCATACTGAGGAGAAGGAGGATATTTCCCCTCCTCTGAGCACTAAGAGGAGCGAGAATTCCTTCAACACCTTCCTGAGGATGTTCCCTTCCCTCCAGCTTTCTGTCTAAAGCCGGGGGAAATACACCCACTGGGCAGCGGCCTCCTCAGAGACCCTCATCTTCCTAGAGGTGCATATCCTGAAGCCAGCATTCTCCTCCTACCATAATCTCATCTGCTTGCCAGTTGCCCCATCAAGAGATATTGCTTATTGTTAGATTACGAGGCACGGAAGATATAGGAGTAAGGCATCCCTCCTCCCTAGGCTCCCACCAGATACCCAAGCATCTCACATCTTTCTTCAACTCATAGGACCTTCAAACTATCTTACTACAACTTTTTGCCAATCCCTGATCTGAAGAGGTTAGTAAGGACAGTGTAGAACAGTGGAGCGTGGTGTAAAGAATTCTGACCCAGGGGTATGATTCATCAACTAAGCACTTTTGAGATAGTTTTTCCAAGGTTCTGGTAAATGGGAAATTGGTATCAGACAACTGAGCTAATCAGTCAAGATTTTAGCCATCTCAAGCATCTGGCTTTACGCTTAATCCTAAAGAAATAGATGAATGAATGAAGGAAGGAATGAATGAGTGAGAGGGAGTGGTATATCTGAAAAGCAATGCAACTATTATCGAATGCTTACTATGTGCCAGGCTCTGAACTAATCCGTTTACATGCTTAATCTCATTCAATTCTGGCAACATCCTATTACCGTTTTATCTACTATTATTATAATGATTTTAGAGGTGTGGCAAGTAACTTGCCCAAGGTCACACAGCAAGTAGGTGGCAGATCTGCTTGATGCCAAAGCTGCTGCTCATGTCCACTCAGCCAGACTGCTCCCAGTTACCTAGTCTTTTGTAACATCTGTGTCAGGAAACTCGAAACACACATGCGCAAGTGGGGCACACCACGCCTCCCTCCTTCAATTGGCCCCAGTGCTAAGGGCAAAGCAGTCACTGATAAAAATTCCCATTTAACTTTTAAACCTTTTAATAGCAGCAATCACGTATTCCATGCTTACTGCAGAGGGCACTGTGTTCTAGGTGAGTGCCAGGAGGTCTGGTCTCCATTACCTAAAATGCTTCAGCTCCTCATCTTCACACTGCCTGCTTTCCGACGTTTCTCCAATACAGGATTTCCCACCCCGACTGGGAGGCGGGTTATTGCATTCTCGGCGCCTTGTTTTCTTCCCTTGAACACAGGGGCCCCAAGAGGACCAGCAACTCCAATCTCCATCAACCCCTCCTGCAAGAAAAGAGAGAGGCTGTTCAGAAAGTATGTGGAGAGGAAGATTTCAGAGTTTGGGGCTAAGCTTCCTGCTCATGTGGTTTTTGGGGGAGGGGATGATCTGGGGCTTTATTACCTTCATTCTGTTCACTGAGGTCTTCAACAAGGGCCAGAACGTCTCCACACTGACTAGCATTGTGCATATTAAGGCTGCATTAACAAACTTCTTGCAATAATATATTAAACTTATTATTTTACAAGCACATAAAGCATGTTCTTTTAAAGAATGTACATTATATCATTCATTTACTTCTCACAAGAATGAATCCAAGTGGGCAGAGGTCTGTTACCTTTGTTATTTGATAGGCGTGGAATCTAAAACAAAGTGGTTAAATGCCATTCCCAATGCTGTAATGGCTGCCAAAGTCTAATGGCTGAGTCCGGGCTCTTTTCATGACCCCACAGTCTCTCAATAAGGCAAATAAGTTCCTATTGTTAAAGCAGTGCTTGGGCATGAGAAGGACATAAGCTACTGGGTATTCCAGGCTGCCAACCCCAGAGCTGGCATTGTATAAAACGAGAAAATGAGTAAGTAGGAGAAATGCTTTTATTTCCTGTCAGCATCCTTCTCATTCAGTCTACAGGCACTTCCTCAACCCACTCTGGCCACCCTCCATCTCACGGCCAATTCATGACTCACAGTTCTTTTGGTATTTTCCCCCAACATACTCTTTGGGAGAGGCAAGAGAGAACTGATACCATATTCTAAGAGCTTTGCTTTCCTAGTTAGAAACTGATCTCAGAAACCATTCCCTGAAGCATTCTTTCTTGTGACAAGAGATTTTCACATATTGGGGTGTATGGGCTAACTTCTGGTTCAAAATTGATTCATTCCGAGCTAAAGAAGCCTGACTTCTGGCCTGTCAAACATACATTGCACAACTGTTTTATCCAGTAAAGTAAAGAATGCACTCTCTTAAGAACGCATACTCCCCCTCCTATGCCAGTATCTGTAACACCCTATCTGTAATGCCCATACTAGTCCTTTTCTTGGACACTAGGTTCACATTGATTTGCAACTGAATACCTCTTTGAAACTTTGACGAATATGTATCCTGGGCATGTTGAATGCATGTTCTTTGTTCCAAAAAGGTATAAGACTGTACTGAAACCCAGAATGCTTTCTTGCTCTGTGGAATGCTTTCTTGCTCTGTGGAAACTGCCTTCCAGGGTTATAAGCCTCACTCCGGCTCAAGCAAAACTCATCTTATCTCTCTTATCTATAGAATGGTTACTGGCTATTTTGCATCGATACTTGATACTAGATGGGTGTGTTTACTACTCTTTAGCTATTTCTGCTGTGCAACTTACACCCCTCTTTGTCTCCTACCCCACACCCACTCCTCGGTATCACAAGCACCGAAACTAAACTAGTTTGTATATTTTCCCATTATCTTCCTTATGTTTTCTTCCATAATTAGAAATCGAGTTAATAAAGTAATAGTAGCTTAATACACTATGATTGCTACCCCGTTCCTTACCAGCAGGAATCACCCCATTCCACAGAGGAATGAAATCACAGTGGTGGAATTTCAAATTACCAGGACTGGCCCACTTGGGGAGACATTTGGAGGTAACGATGCCTTCCTGATGCTTGTCTGTAAGCGACTGTGGTTTAGTGCTGTGTTTATTCATTTATCAAACATTTACTAAGTGGCTTCCATGAATCAAGCTCTATGTTAGGCTCTGAGAATAAAGAAAGGAATCAAACAGTCCTGATGTTAAGGAATGAGCTTTCTGGAGGAGAGAGACATAGAAATAAATATAAAAACAGATGTACATAAATTGACTCATATTTTGCCTCCTCATAAAGTCAACTTCACATAGCCCTGTACTATAGTGCTTTTAGCACCAAGCACACTTTTGAGCACACAGCAGATGTTCAACAAACACTTGTGAATAATTAATAGATGGGACATAATACAAAATTACAAATAGAGATGTTTTGAAGAACTTGCCGTCAGAAAGATTAAGCAAACAAGCTCCACAGACCCACGTTAAGACAAAACCTTAGTGAGATGGAAGGATGGAAGGTGTTTCAGTCATCAATCTATTTTAATGGAGAACAGGGAATGGAGGGCACCACCGTGTTAATTCAGACAGGAACATGGAGACAGCAAAGGACCTTGACTGCAGTAGCTGTAATCCGGAAGTGGAATAGGGAGGGAGATACTAAATCAAAATGCCTGGTGACACTTCCATACGCAAAGAAGCACCGTCTCAGGGGCCAGAGGGAAAGGGTACTTCTCTTCCCCATGTGTCCAGCATCACTAGAGACAATTCAGCACTGACCTGCTTGATCCCCTACGAGGACTCCTTGCTCACACGCCACACCAAATGTGTATGGTTTGCAATGGCACTGACACTGGGTCCCCTCAACAGTGGCGATGCCACCATTTTGACAAGGCTGGCAATGGCAGGGGTCAAATTCATCCAAATATTCCTCAAGAGCCCGTTTCAGGTAGAGTCTCTTCACAGAGGCACAGGGGACTTCCTTTACCAGCTCATACAAAGGTGTCAGCTATACAGATAAAGACATCATGGTCAGCAATCAGGGTTTTAGGCAAGAATACTTTCCTTTTGGCCTTCAGGCTCTATCCCCACTAAAACAAAATCAAAAGTCACTCTTAGGTTAATTCCAATTATTTCTTGTTCAAATAAAAAGAGAAAGCAATTCACTTTCTTTGCAAGACAAACCTAGGGGAAACTAGCAAGAGATAAGGAAGGAATATTTTTTGTATCTGGTGTGCATGCATAAATTTTTTAAAAACCAATAGGACTTTCATTTTCTAGTTTTTGAAAGATTATTTTGAAAATAATACATTTCCACCCCTGCAGAGGACAGAAGAAAAGAAAATACACTTAAATTAGAGCCAAGAAGCAAGTGCAATTAAATTTAAGATTAAATTTCCTGACTCTGAGAGACTTATTGTGTCACTCGAGGGAAGACAATGACTCTTTCTCCCTGGAGAAGTTTAAAACAGGTAGATATTATCACTCTGTGTTTGATATGTCAGATGAAAAGCAACTTCGAGATCACATGTGTTAGCTAAGCTTTAACAATCTGTTCTCCCAGGAACAAAAAGTCTCTGATTCGCAGTGTTTGCCAATTTCTGCAGCATAGCTACTCTAACCATGGCTGGTCTCCAGCTGCCACCACGATGTCACAGAGCACAGAGCTGGGGACAGATATGCACCATTGGCTCTTGAGAAAGTCAAGGAGAGCTGGCTGCAGCGTACCCTGTGAGTATGGAGATTAACACAGATCTGTAGCCACCCCTGATGCAGGAAGGGTTAATAATCACTGGAAAAGGCTTGCCAACAAACTGGGACCCAGAGGTGAGAAGGCCGGTCAGCCAATGATGGGTAAGACCTCCAGGGCGGGGCAACCTAAGACAGGCGCAGTCGCCTGGGGGCACAGATGGAGACACAATATCGATATTAGGAGCAGGAGGGGCTGTTGCCTAGGAGATCTTGCCTTCTCCAAGATAAAAATATACGAGCACAGCAATAACATGATAATATCAAAACAGGGTCTGAGGGAGGGCTCCTTGAGAAATCACTAAGAATTCTTGGCATCTGCTAATTACTTCATCCAGAACACCTGTGTATGTTTAACAGATGTAAACTATGTATATATTGAAACGCTGGTTATAATAAACTCAGAGTGGCCATCAGCCCTCTCTGCATCTATCCTGATGTATACATTGGATTGCGACACCGACAAGATCAGGTACATTTCCCTCCATCTCTGCCCAGGCTCTTTCAAACTGCTTGGCATTGCATGGTCATACAGGTAAAATGTCTCTTCTTTGCCTGTGCCTTTCCTGCCCAGCTAATCAATTAGCAAAGCTGTGATAATTCCAGTCCCGGGTGGAAAAGAGCGTAGTTGAGAATGAGAGACAATGTCTGTTTTTCCGTAATCAACAATTTAAGATTTTTAAAGATTTGTGTGGAAGACCAGCCATGAAAATGGGCCATTTTGAGTACTAACAGATGGCACTTTAGAACAAGACTTCCCTGGAAAAACCCTCCTGCCACTGTCACCCTTGTTTAGAGGTGAGTAGGTGCAGTATGGTGTCAGGAGGGCACTTGAGGAGCTATTGTAATGTTTGAGTTTACAAAACGTGTCCAGGTTTCTTAATCTCCAAAAGTCATTTCACCTGGGATGTTGCTTGATTCCCAAGACAGGGAACAGATCATGGAATCACTTCTGCTATAGCATTTGTTTTGAAAACGTGAATTTGTTCCATTAAGGGACAATATGCTATATTAAGGAATAATATGATGTATCACAAATTTTGTGTTTTCCTACATGTAATTTCGTCCACGAGAAACACCAGGAGAAACAGAAAACTGGACACAATTGAACCAAGCTGCGTAAGAATACACAACACTTGCACGTACACACATACACCTCAAACATCCATCTGGTTCACTGTGTGTGTAATAAACTACACCCACCCACAGCCGGTGTCAGAGCTGCCATTTCTGATTGCTCTCCTACCATGTCACAGTAATTCACAAGCTATAACTCCTCCTTCACCCAGCAAGTTTCAGGGTTTTTCTAGGTAAAATGCCACATTTATTGTAGCACATACGCATTTCTTAACAATTTTAACATAAAATTCTGCTACTATTTTTATTGATGCCTATTTTTTAATTTTTATTTTTTTTTTTTTAGGAAGATGAGCCCTGAGCTAACATCTGCTGCCAATCCTCCTCTTTTTGCTGAGGAAGCCTGGCCCTGAGCTAACATCCATGCCCATCTCCCTCTACTTTATATGTGGGACGCCTACCACAGCATGGTTTGCCAAGCTGTGCCATGTCGCACCTGGGATCTGAACCGGCAAACCCCAGGCCCCCAAAGCAGAACATGTGAACTTAACCACTGCGCCACAGGGCTGGCCCCTGATGCCTATTTTTTTTTAAAATGAGTGTCAAAGATCAAATTTTTAAGTGCTGTGTCCCTACCCCCATTTTTCCCATGGTCTTTATTGTGCAATTTTGCCTGGCTCTCTGACTTTTAGGAACATACATGTTGCAATATAAAAGAAGTGACTGTATCAATAAAACATCCTAAAATTCTGCCAGCCAAATCAGTTCTATCTTAATTTACATAACTCCCAGAGCCTCTAATCCAATCCGTGGCTGCAGGAAGAATGGTGATCTTACAGATATAACAGTAGACAAGCCTAAATGCCTTCTTCTTGCGAAAATCTATAACTCCTCTGAATTAGAGACCAAGAAAAATATAATCAAATTTAGGTCAAAAGCTTAAAATGTAAATTTTGTCATTAATTTCTCTTGAGATTTACAAGACATTTAACCTTTCAAACTGAAATATGGACATAGAAGATAACAAACCTTCTGTTTCATCTTATAAGTTATGCATTTATTTTACTATGCAAAACATAACCAGGATACCGAAAATGCTAATTACAGCCTTCTCTATTTAACCACCTTGATTTAACCTAATTTCCCCAGTGCAAATAAACATGACTGCTTTCTGCTCCTGTCAACAGAGCATCGCATACCTTTTGTTTTATGACTTGGGGAAGATCAGTCACCGAACCTGCCCAGGAAGAATATCGGTTTTTGTTTCCAGCAGGATTGTCCAGCTCCAGGTAACTCAGGCCAGACACGAAGCCTGCACTTCCTCCTCTGACAAATGGCTTGCCTCGCAACACATTGCCCTCAGTTCCTACACAAGGAGAAAGCAAATGAAACAAGTCAGGATGCGCAAACAAAGTGAAAATGAGAACGTAAAAGTGAAAAGTCTATCAAGTATGAAAACACAACCCATCCAACTGTATGACCTTCTGGAAAAGGCAAAACTATGGAGACTGGAAAAAGATCAGTGTGCCAGGGTGGGGGATGGGAGGGATGAATCAATGGAGCACAGAGGATTTTTAGGGCAGTGAAATTGATCTTAATGATATTATAATGGTGGATACATGTCATTACACATTTGTCCAAATCCACAGAATGTACAACAGCAAGAGTGAACCCTCATATAAAATATAGCCTTTGGGCAATAATAAAGGATCAACGTGGGTTCACTGATTGTAACAAATGTACTACTGTGGCACCGGAGTCTAACAGTGGGGGAGGCTGTGCCTGTGTGAGGACAGGGGAAGTACGGGAACTCTCTGTACTTTCTGCTCAATTGTGCTGCAATCCTGAAACTACTCTAAAAAGTAATATCCATCAAGGGTACAGCCCTACGGCTGAGTGGTTAAAGTTTCACATGCTCCACTTCAACAGCCAGGGTTCACAGATTCAGATCCCAGGCACAGACCTACTCCACTCACCAGCCATGCTGTGAAGGTGTCCTACACGCAAAAAAATAGAGGAAGATTGGCACAGATGTTAGCTCAGAGCTAATCTTCCTCAGCAAGAAAAAAAAATCCATTAAAAGAAAAAAGAAAAGAAAAACATAATCATTACCTGACAGTAGATGATATTAGGGAATTATTGTTCATATTTTTAATGTTCTTAGTTTAGTAAAAGTTATTATGTTATTGAGGAGACTTTCTTCTAGAAAGTACATGTATATTTAGCGATGAAGCATCATGATGTCTAAAATTTGCTTCCAAATGGTTCAGCAAATATTAAAAATATTTTAAATATACAATATTTATGTATTGCTAAATAGTCCATATTATAAATATCATATGTAGATATACATAGCAAAATGTCAAAATAATTGTTACATATATAAGCTGGGTACATGGGCATTTATTACTACATTTTTTTCAACTTTGCCATACATTTGCAAGTTTTCATAATAAAATATTGAGGGGAAAACAGTTCATTGCATCCAGAATACTAACAATAAGCAAAAAAGCTATTAATTAAAAAGCATACATTAAGTCATGAAAAGTGTTGTAAAAACTTTGAACACCAGTTGAACAATTTTTTCTATTTATGTGCCTCAATTCCAAAAATAGTTTTTAATATCTATTTGCAAGTGATTTTTACTCTGGTCATGACTAGAAATTCCTAACTTGCAGATCAGATTTGGGGCAATTTTCCTTTTCTTGTAACTGTCTAAACTTTGCAATTTCATGAAATTTTGCAATTCAAAAAGTATACTTTTATTATCAGAAATTATGAAAGCTTAATATTTTTAATAAATTGGCTGAATGCTTCCTCATCTTCGTTACTTTTTTTTTCTTTTTGGTGAGGAAGATTGGCCCTGAGCTAACATCTGCACCAGTCTTCCTCTATTTTGTATGTGGGACACCACCACAGCACAGCTTGATGAGCAGTGTGTAGGTCTGTACCCAGGACCCAAACCCATGAACCCCGGGCAGCTGAAGCAGAGCACACGAACTCAAACACTACGCCAATAGGCCAGCCCCTTATTTTTTTAATTTAGATATAACTGACATATAACATTACATATGTTTCAGGTATACAACATGATTCAATATTTGTATATATTGAGAAATGATCACCACAATAACTCTAGCTAATATCCATCACCATACATAGTTACAAAACTTTTTTCTTAGAGACTGGCCCTGAGCTAACATCTGTTGCCAATCTTCTTTTTTTTTCTTTTTCTTCTCCCCAAAACCCCCCAGTACATAGTTGTATATTCTAGTTGTAGGTCCTTCTAGTTCTTGTATGTTGGATGCCACCACAGCATGGCTTGATGAATAGTGCTAGGTCTGCACCCAGGATGCAAACCAGTGAAACCCTGGGCCGCTGAAGTGGAGCGCATGAACTTAACCGCTCGGCCACGGGGCCGGCCCTGTGATGAAAACTTTTAAGGTCTACTCTCTTAGAAAATTTCAAATATACAATACAGTATTATTAACTATAGTCCCCATGCATTATATGCCCATGTCTTGTTTATTTTATAGCTGGGAGTTCCTGTGTTTTTAATATCCAAGTAGTCACCCTTTTAACGCAGTGTATCACAGAGTTCAGCCCCTGAACTGCCTGAATCAGAATCACCTGGTGTGACTTCAGATTTCTGAGACCTACAAGAGAATAGCTGAGAGAATGAGCCTTGGAACCAGCATTTTAACAGGCTTCCCCAGCTAATCCTTGTGCATACTAAAGTTTAAGAATCACTGCCTTGGGGCCAACCCCATGGCATAGTGGTTAAAGTTCAGCACCCTCTGCTTTGGCAGGCTGGGTTCTCAGGTTTGGGTCCCAGACACAGACCTACAACACTTGTCAGCCACGCTGGGGCAGTAACCCACATACAAAATAGGGGAATATTGGTATGGATCTTTGCTCAGGTTAGCTCAGGGCTAGTCTTCCTCCAGCAAAAAAGGAGGAAGATTGGCAACAGATGTTAGCACGCAGTGAATCTTACTGAGGAAAACAAAACAAAAAAATCACTGCCTTAACTGGCACACCTGTTTAAGAACTGCAGATTCTAAGAAATCAGTTTTTATGTTTATTTTTTAGCCTCTAGCCAGCCTATCACATGCCAGTGAGCTCTCTGCTCCCACTAGCGCTTTACCCCTAGACAATCAGCCTCGTGCAAGAGAGAAGAGCCTACATTGTGAAGCCAGATTTCATGTATTCGAAGCGCTTGTCTGATGCTTATCAACTGTGATCTTGGGCAAGCTTTCTGTCCCTCAGTGTTCCTGTCTGTAAAATGATAGTATGAATAATACTTAACTTTTACATAAGAGGAGTACATTGGTTAACTTTTGTAAATCACTTAACGTTGTGCTTGGCACATAGTAAGTGCTACGTGTTTGTTAAATACAAAATAAAATAAAACTGGGGAGCAGCTTCCAATTGCCAGCCCCACTGATAACTGATGTCAGTATGTTCCCAAAGCTCCCGCTTCCACTTCTGTTTCCAGATCATCCTTTTTCCATTTTGTTCAAAAGCTCATCCTCCTCCTTTGTCGTATCTGCTCCATGAAGACAGGCACTTTGTCTGACATATTCACTGCTATATCCCCAAGACCTCGAACAATTCCTGGGACATACCGCAGGCTCCATAAATAGTTGAATAAAGTAAGTGAACGAGTAAATAAACCTGCTTTTACTACTCTGTCTCCCTCCTTCTTGCAGCCATCCACCAATATCCCAAGAATTCCCAGTTCCTCGCTGAGAGAAATGCTTCTCCTTTACTTCCCATATTTCTGATCTTTTCTGGTTTTTATCCTATTAGATTATGCCTTCACAGTCCCTCTTCTTTCTCTACAACTTTACTTTTGTAATCTTTCATTTAATCACTCCCTGTATTAAATCCTTTAATGGCACCCTTGTCATCAGGATGAAATCCAAACACCTTCACGTGGGATCTCAGATACAGTCTAAATCTGCTTACCCTTCCAATTCTTTCTTCAATCACTCAAAGACTAACACGCTACCTTCCCCACCCTCTCTACCACCACCACTACCACCAACACCACCAACACCTGTGTGCACCAAAAACTTTAACTGCACTGAGCAGCCATGTCACAGAGTGGAACTGAACCTTCTGCTGATGTCATTTTCCTAGACTTATTTGCCAACCATCATCATAAGGGAGAAAGGTGGTGTACACTGAGGACGTATTTACATACACAGGAGATACCCACTAAACTTTCCACTCTGCATGATGCCTCACTGCCATGACATAGGAAAGAGAGTTCAGAGGCAAAAATAAAGAAATATATGAAAAACATAAAATAAAACACCTGCTGACATTTCAAAGGCCCTTGGAGACCAAGAATTAACCACAAGAGAGAGGGATGGAGGTCAAGCTTGTAACTTCTCATTTACCTGCAGCTGATTTTAAGGCCTCTTTCAGTGCCTGGCATTTGTGTTTTGATGATTTAAAAATAAGATTGACATCTGACGAAGTACATTCCATCTCATCTGCTGAACTAATACCTAGGGAAAAAATTTAAAAGGTGCTTAATTTCCACATTTATTGAAGACCTCCTTTGAGATGCAACCAGGTGTGAGGGTGGGGATGAAAGGTTGTTTCCTACCACTGTGGCCATCCAATCAAGAGTGATGTAATATGTACATTTTCAAGCGTTCTAGAAGGATCAAGGGTCATAAAAAGGGATATTTGATTTTTGTTATTAAACAAAATAGTAGGTACATAGATAATAGATTCCAACAAAAATCAGGCAATTTTGCAGCAACATAGCATAAGGAAAAAGCTCAGCTGACTCTGGAGCTAGTTAGACCTCCTTATAATCTATATCCTCTTGGATGAGTCTTATCATAGCACCGAGTCTCCATTTCTCAGGATGCAGAAGAGGAATTATAGTGGTCATCTCACTGGGTAGTAGTGAGGATCATTGCTAACACGTGTAACACACCTGTTGTGAGGAAGGAATCCAATAAATGTAAGCTATTGTTGCAAGTATTAGGTAGTAAGCAAACTTGTGTATCCAGAGCAGATTTTTTTAAAGCAATGTGAGTGGTAACAAACAGAGGTGAATAAAATACTTCTTTAAAACATTTTGACTTCTGCAATATCAGTAAATTCCGCGTTAGTTTTCCTCAAGGGATATTATTTAATCTGAGAAATGGGAAAGGTTAAAAAGTATTCTAAAAAATCCAGTGAACACCCTCTGGAGATAGCCAATAATAATAATGGCTTAACTCACGTGTCAGGGTACTATCCAAAAGAGTAGGCTGGCTTTTTTTAAAGACTGCAAGATTTTGAGTTGAATGGATTCTCGCAATTTTGGATTCCTTTGCAATTTCATCTCTGTTTGTCATACTTTGAAGCTCTAAAGTTTAAGTTAACTATATGTATTTCCCCCATTAAAATCCCCACAATGCTTTTATACAATAATGTTTTTAATACTCTACCGCTTTGTTTCATTTTTTCTGAGTCCACATAAAATAGAACTTTGTATTCTCCTCCTAAGGACCCAGACTGCAGATAATGTGTCCCATACCGGTCGATTAATCTTCTGTAGGCACTGTAATCATACAGAGAGGGAAGGTAGGAGAGTTCCTTCCAGAATGGCTCAGCAAGTTGTAAAAATTCCGGATTGTTATTGATAAACTGAGCCACTTCAACAGTGTTCTGAATAACCAATAATTGATAACTCTATAGGAAGAAGAAAGAGTAAAAGAGTTTTAGATTGAAGATAAAAAGGCAATGGAAATGGTTTTCTGTCCAATATGTCTATAAACGGTCACCTCCAATCAATGCAGACTATACAAATTTTTATTTTTGATGCATAATGGGCCCACCCACTTAAAGTAATCACAGGAATTTTTGGAATCCCAATAGGAATAATATCTGAGTGATGTCAGGGTAATTTCTTTTATACATGACTTTTAAAACCATACGACCAAGTCGTTACACCCTCCTCAACTAGAAAAAGAGAATCAACTTCATTAACTGGTAAATAATCTCACAAATAAGTATATAAAATAATGTGTGCCTAGGGTCCACATCTTGATGATAACCTATAGTTAGGGTGACCATATAATTTATCTCCCATACGGGGGCATTTCCACGGTAAGCCACTTTATAATGAGGTCTTTTAAATATTTCCTAAGTATCTTTTAATAATGTTCAAGACAGATCTACCTTACAACAAATCTTCACTTATGTAAACAGTATAATATGGAGATAATAAATGTCTTCACAGCTCGTATTTCCACGGTCAGCTTCTTAGTCATAAAACAGATAAAATCAATATTCCTTTATACCTCCTTTGTGTGATTTATTAATCAAGTTACTGACTTTAAGAATGAGAAAAATAGGCAGATTGTGACTGATGATCAACCAGAAAAATTCATCAGCAGTAAGTGTATATCAAATAGTACAATCCATCGCAACTGTTCAGGTTGCCCAAGATGAGAGTTTCAGTATCTGAAAACAACAAAGTATCTGAAAACAAGTCTTGTAGCTTCCTCGGAAGAAAATTTTGGTATCTCAAAAATAATAAAGTTTTAAAATCTTTTAGTTTCATTCACCTTCTAAAAAAGACTCTGGTATTAGTGTTTAGGAAGCACATAAATTGGATACTAAAAATAATACTGTAAAATACTATAAAATAGCATCAATAATCATGAACTAGAAACCTAGGATAGTTTTAACTAGAAGATTTGAAAGTAATATTTTTTATTTAAGATTTTCAAGTAAGAACAAATACTTTAATGAGATGATAAAAAGTATAAATAAACATATTATCAAGAGAATTCATAAGACAAGATCATACCTTTTAAAGAAACATTTTCTATTTTCTTTTTGAAGAAGATACTATTGCCTTAAAAAATGAAAGCTGATCCTTTTGGTAAATACACTTCTGTTAATGTTAGAAATACTTAAACCAGTAAAATATGAAAAAGTTAACTAATATTTCATACTAACCTTTTTGTTATGGATTTCATCTTTATGTGAAGTATAACTGTGTGAAGAAGATGATGAAGAGCTAAAAAAGAATCTCCTCCTGCTAGATGATGTACGTTCTGTCGATGTATGTTTTACATAAGACCAGCTACTGTTGTAAAATTCATAATTAAAATCATTATCTATTTTCACCTATAAAGAACATGAAAAGTTTTGTTGTGACCAGGTTAAGGCCTTGGATATAACCAAGAACCTTTTTTCACAGATCCTTTAACACAGATACTTTATTCATACAATCTCCTCCAAAAGACAAAGCTCTTCATTGACACAAAACTGGGACTCTCATTAAGACCAGGGCTGTACGAGTACAAAGAATAGAGTTCCTCCTATAATTACTTTTTGTTAAGCAGGAGGCATGGTATCAATAATGGCAATCCCAAGAGATTCACAAAATCCATTTGTGTACAAACATCTTTTATTTTCCTTTAATTTCAAAATTTAGTCCAGAAGTGAGCAAATTAACAAAGCTACACTAACAGAGAACTACAAAGCATTTGGCTTTTGACTTTTTATCCAATAGAGGGGAATTGAGATGCAAATAGGTGATATGAAGCAATGAGATCTTTTGGACTTTGTTTTGGATTGTTCCTTGTGATCCAGTAGTAGATTTAACTTCCTAATTCTGTTTGACTTGAACAAATGCTAAAATTGGAATTTTTTTCCCTATGCTGGATGGTAGAGGAAAACGCCACCCCAAAAGAATTTTGAAACAGACAACAGGATAGTCATATGTATCATATGTCATATGTGATAGTCATATGTGGCTAACTGAGAACTTACAGCTCCAACATTCATAGAGAAGACAATCATTTATATATCCTTTATGTTCTCCAGATCAAGTGTCAAAATGAAATGTCTACAGTGTGCTGGCAAGTAATATAAATGTCAGAAGCATCTAGAGGAAGGGAAGGTGATGAAGAGGTGAGGACACACCCTGTCTAAGGGACACCCAACACTCGAATCCATCAGATAGTCGCCATATGTAATTACAGGTTCTAGCATTGACAGATTGTCTGATTTTTCAAGAAAAGAGATAAATCTGAATCTTTAAGTAAAAATCTCTAGAGTTTTAAAAGTCATAGGAAAGTAATTTGTTAAAAATGTCAATCACCATGAGAATTAAACAAAACATGCAATACGATGCCCTCTCACAGTGTCTGCTCTGTATAAATGCTCAAATCAGTAACTCTCCTTTCACAAGCATTTGTGTTATTATATATCCATTCATATCTGCATTTGAGATCAAAGTATAAATAAGCACAGAAAAAGTTGAAATGATGAATATAATACACTTTAAAAACAAAACTGAAAGGAAAGAAAGTGACAGAATGTTATGCAGCCATCTTAAATGATTTTTATGAAGACAAAATATGCATGTTAAATGAGAAAGCAGGTATAAACGTAATAATTCTGTTAACTACAACCTTGCAAGTATATGCCCAGTCAAAAAAAGACTATAAAGAAATTCAGCAAAATGCCAAAAAATATTATGCTACTTTTATCACTACCCATGTTAAAAACTAGGCATGCATGCTAAAAATACATCAGAAAATAAGATAGATTTTATCATATATTTTTTTTCCTGCTTTTTCTCTCCCCAAATCCCCCCCAAGTATATAGTTGTATATTTTAATTGTGGGTCCTTCTAGTTGTGGCACGTGGGACGCCGCCTCACGGTGGCTTAATGAGTGGTGCCATGTCCACGCCCAGGATCCGAACCAGCGAAACCCTGGGCCGCCCAAGCGCAGCACGCGAACTTAACCACTAGGCCACGGGACCGGCCCCCATATCTTTTATTAGAGCATTATTTTCATTGTATTATGAAATTATTTTGTTTAAAAGTCAAATGCAAAAATTCAGCCTCAAGATGAAATGGAGAATATATGTATTATTATTGACTACAAAGAGAATATTATTAAAATTGCGATTAGAGATTTCTACAATCATTAGACAGTGTCTCAGTCCTGTTTGGTTTTGGATAGACACAGAATTTAAGTTTTTATGTCTCTTCAGAAAGAGAGATTATCTACCTCCTTTTCAATGCAAAAAGAAAAAAAGGCCTATTTTCCCTCGTTTTCAGATCCACAATTCAAATACTTGATTTATGATTTATGCAAATAAGCCTCTTAGCTGCTTTAGTTCAGCATCTCCTCACTCCATCTACCCTACACATAGCTGCAAGAATCATCTTTTTCAAAGTAGTATGATCTTAAATTGTTTTCATACCTTCTTTCTTCCAGCTTAGACCTTAAATTCCTCCACACTGATCCTCCGAAATCACAAATTCAAACATACTACACTCTGCCTTCTCTTACTCTTTTGACTCTCATTCTATCATTGCCATATTGAGTATTCAACTTTGGAGAGACAAAATAAGACAATTTATTTTCCCATCACTCTCCCTATCAGCACCTTCATTTTTTTACGCCCCTCCTGTTGCAATTAGGCTTTGTGGTCCATGACTTCAACCATTTTCTTGCCAGTGAACTTAACTTCCTTGCCTAGATATGTCCCACCATCAAATTTGCCCGGAAAAAACCCAACCCTGGTTCAATGCTTACAGCCAGGCTGCTTAGTGCTACTATGCAAAACTCACACAACTATAGATTGGTGCCACTATAAATCCATTCTTGATTTCCAACCTCAGTGGAACCTTCAATATATTCTAGCAATCCTGTATTTCTCTAGCCAATTCTCACTCTCTCCCATTCTCTATAGTATCAATTTCAAAACTTATACCCCTACTTCAATTCCCCAATCTTACAACCACTTCCTTCACCCTCAGAAGATGACTCAACCTCTTTCCTTACCAACACTCCTCCTATCACAGAGTCCTCTTAAACTTCTGGCTAATTAATCTACAACCTTCTTAACATTTCTTCTCTTCCTTTCCTCCACAAGTGTCCCTCCTCCCTATCTAGGGTTAATTTCTCTGTCTCTTCTCTGTATGGCATTCCCTCTCGCCTCTTCAAAGGATTTATTAACTTGATTGATTATTCCCTCTTCTACAGCTTCAATTTTTCTTTCTCCATTGGCTCATTCCTATCAATACCTATACATATTCTAACCCCACCAAAGTCTAGTCCACTGCAAGGGCTCTAGACTCACACTTCTAGGGTCCAGATCCCAGGTTTGTCATCTACTTCCTCTATGATCGTGGGTAAGTTATTCAGCATTTCTTTGCCTCAGTTTCCTCATCTGTAACAACAGAGATGACACCTTCTTGGGTTATTATAAAGAAAAAATATCCATGTAAAGCACTTGAAATAGTGCTTTGCATATAAAAGGTTTTTATTATATGTGAGCTATTTTTAACATCATTCAAATTGTTCTTGGTTAACAAGGTAGATTTAGAAATCTCAGATATCTAGACTGATACCAACAGAGGGAGCAGAGGATCAGATCATTAAGCGTTAGTTAAAATTGCCTTTAGAATACGTTTTTGTTATTTATTTGACAGGCATATAGGATCTTCAAACAATAAAGTCAAGTACATTCAAGACCAAATACAGGAGGATCCAGGAAGTTGTTAATTGTTCCATCTTAATCTTTACTCACTCTCATTTGCAACTCATTACATGCTGAGAATAAACCCGACAGTCTTCAGCTGTCTCCCAGGCTGAACTAAACAAAGGGACACCTTCCCAAAGAAACCATGTTGCAGAAATGTGTTTGTTTCAAAGGTTTCCTTGTGGTATGAAAAATATGAGGAAACAGAGAATGCACGTGGCATCAAAGTAAGTGGTTTACTCAGTAAGAAACCAGGTTTGCCCTGGATAAACTACCATGCTGATAACCCAGAGACTGTAAGAGAGATTGACTGATTCTGTTTTATGTTTATTTACTAATATTTATGGTCCAAGTCACCTTCCACCTCGTAGATATCTGCATCCCAGTGGCCGCAGATCAATCTATTTGAACTGTGAAGGACATTCACAGCCTCCACAGCCGCACCTGGGTTTAGCACCTCAGTGATTGACTCTCTGCCTATTGCTTCCACCTCACTTCCCTCAGGCTGGATCTTCAAGACATCTCTATTCTTCACTCAATAACAGGCTATAATTTCCCTCTCTTTCTGACAAACACTTTCAAATTTAGTGACTGGAAAGGCATTTCAGATGTCAATCCACAAACCACGCCATGCTGAGGAAAACGAATGTCAGGATTATGCTGTTATTAAACTATTCCTCTTTTTCAGAAGCTGCAGACTTCCAGCATGTCTACCTTCCAACTATGTCAGAAATTCTCTTCCTTATTATTTTCTCTGCTCTGTAACTTTCTAAATTTGACCCAAATACATATTATAAAACTCCCCTTATAATTATGAAAGAATTATCGATATATCCTCCTAGGAATAGAAGCAGAAAACGAATTCTGTGCAAATGCCTATTTCACATTCTCCCTTCTGGACAAAAGTTAAATTACAATTCACATTACTCGCTATGTAGAATTTAGAGTTGAACAGCAATGAAATACCATACGCTGGGAGAGTGAAATACAGTAGAAAAATAAAGGGCTGTGAAATCTGACAAACTGGATCCAAGTTCTGCTACTCATTAATTTGGTGACTCGGAACAAATTAGCTGAAGTCCTGTAAGCCTCGATTTCTACATATATAAATATAGGAAAATATTGCTTACCTTCCACACATATTGTGAGGATTAATCATATAAAAATTGCCTAAAATGACTCAGATGCCACAGTAGATATTCAAAAATTGGCAGCTATGATCATTTTTCAGATCAGGTTCACTTTCCATTTTCAAGATTTGATAACTCTTAAATGTAACTTATTCCATTGTAAATTGGAAGATGGAATTTGCTGTTCATAATCAAAACTGCTTTCTGGAGTTGTATGAGTTCTTTATATATTTTGAAGATCAACCCCTTGTCTGATAAATGATTTGCAAATATGTTCTCCCAGTTGGTGGGTTGTCTTTCTGTTTTATTCATGGTTTCCTTTGCTTCGCAGAAGATTTTTAGTCTGATGTAGTCCCATTTGTTAACTTTTTCTTTTGTTTCCCTTGCCGGAGTAGACATGGTATTCAAAAAGACATTGCTAAGACCAATGTCAAAGAGAGTACTGTCTATATTTTCTTCTGGGAGTTTTATGGTTCAGGTCTTACATCCAAATTTTAAATCCATATTGAGTTAATTTTTGTGAATGAATAAAGAAGATGTGGTATATATATATATACAATAGAATACTACTCAGCCGTAAAAAAAAAAAAAGACAAAATGGTCCCATTTGCAACAACACGGATGGACCTGGAGGGTGTGATGTTAAGTGAAATAAGCCAGACAGAGAAAGACAAATACCGCATGACTTCCCTCACATGTGGAAGATAACAAATACATGGATAAAGAGAACAGATTAGTGGTTACCAGAGGGGCAGGGGGCTGGGGGTGGGCAAAAGGGACAAAGGGGCACATGTGTATGGTGATGGGTAAAAATTAGACTATTGGGGGTGAGCACAATGAAGTATATTCAGGAAGTGATAAACAATAATGTACACCCGAAATTACATAATGCTATAAACCATTATAATCCAAATAAAATTACTTAAAAACAAAAAAAACCCTCTGCTTTCTGGAGAAGGTTAATTTGGGTAAGCAAAAGGCCCTTCCGTCTGAACATCCTAACAGTTTGGGTTACAAATTTTGGAGTAATAGATAAGGAGCACTGAATCAGAAATTTTGGGAAGTTCTGGGAAGAAGGGGGTAAGGGAGTGAGAAAGGAGATCTTGGAAAAGACAGCAAGAAAGAGGCTAAAACAAGATGAGACCAGAAACTTCATTTTGTTGAGGTTGTGGAAGGATGGACGTTTTAAGATGGAGGATGCCAACTGTTTTTGTTGAATGTTTTTGCACTACTGCAACAGGAAATCTCTCCTCTATAGTCCCTCCAAATCTTCAAGAATGTCCCCCAAAGCCATAACATTTTTGTATGCATAGATTTGGAGTTGAAATCAAGGAACAGGATGAGTTTAAGCATGTATGACAGAAACAGCGTTCGAGAAACAGAATCCTGGGGACAGAGGAGATCCTGAGACCATAAGCAAAATTAAAAAGTCAGGCAATACAGATGTTGGCAAGTATGTGGAGCACAGACCACTCTTCCACACAGCTAGTGGGGGTATAAATTGATACATCCGTTTCGGAAACTTTACCTAGTAAAGTGTCACATATACAAGGCAGCAATTTGATTCCGGGTGTGTGTCCTAGAGAAACTCTAGCTCATTTGCATGGAAACTCATGCACAGGAATGTTCAAGGCATTTTTGTAAGAAAAATTGGTAACAGTAATAAAAATGCCACCTACATCAGCAGGTATAAATTTCAAAATCATAATTTTGAGTAAAAAAGCAAGTCATGAAAGAATATATACTATAAGATTTATTTATATAAATGGCCAAAAACAGTCAAAACTAAATCACAAATTTTTGATTTAGGGACAAAGACATATGGGATAAACATATACAGAAAAACAAGAAAATGATTAAAACAAAATATAAGATAGTGGTTGCACAGGGAGTGGGGATGAGGGGGATGCGAGCAGAGCGGGGTAAATGGGAAGCTTTTAAGACCCTGACAATGTTCTGTTTCTTAAGGTGGGTGGTGGGCATACATGGGTATTTGGTTTATTAGTTTTCTTTAAACTGCATGTATATGTTATTCACTCTCATTTGTAGATATGAAATATTTCACAATTTAAAAATAAACGCATTTTTAAGTGAAGTGACACTGGGTCAGTGGTAAGGAGATCATCACAACCAGTCATGGCCAGGGCCTTGAGTTTTAGCACCCATACAGGGACAGACCATAAGGTCCCAGGCCCACTTGGAGCACAGAGTTGAAAATGAGGCAAAAGGATATTTCACCTTAAATGACACAAATTAAAAGTATCATTGCCCTGTAAGCCCATATAAAACATTTATAAGATTTGACTACATATTAGACCACAAGTAAATTCTCAATAAACACCAAAAAATCAATATCACGTAAATAACTGGCAACAGTTCTCTGGCAACAATTCACAGATTGGAAATAAGTTAAATCAACGTAATTAAGTACCTGGAATGTATAGGAGAGGATATTTCCACTCAATCTGTAGAAATCTTTTCTATCCCCACTAAACACCTTTCTGCATTGACCACCAAAACTTTTAGTGTTGATGACTCTGTTCTTAAACTGGCCAGTGAGTGCATTGTAGCTGTTTAAAAAAAAAAGAAAAAAAAGAATGGAAGACAGAAGAAAAGGCACTTAAAAACCAGAAATAGCACTTGCTGAAAACGGAGTCATTAGAGAACTCTAGAAATTCTTGAAATACTTTACCATTAAGCATCTCCTTGAGAGAACTGAGGTAAAGAGAACAGCATCCTAATTCATACTACACATTATCCACCTTCCCCTGCTTGGTATGATAGCTAAAACCAATAGCTGGGAAAATCCAACATCCTTTCAGCCTAAGAATATGTTTGGGAAACACAGCTCTTTTGTATCTATGGCAACAGCTGGTTTTGAATTGAATCTATAGATAAAACCAATACAATTAAGATTACTCTTGAGAGAGAGCACTCCACAATGACTTTCAACTAATTGCCTCTTAGTATGCTGAATGGTATACTCTTTAGAATAATTTTACCATTTCTCTGTTAATGAATTTTAAAATATTACAGAAAAATCACATCTAATGATCACTCTAAAATACGTTCTTTTAAAGCCTTGAAACTTTCATTTGAGTCTGACCCTTGAAAGTTCCTCTGGACTCTTTGTGAAAAAGCAAACACAAAATTGTCCCAACTTCCCTTAGAAGTGAAAATTCCCAGCTAGTTTAGGCAATTGCTTCTCAGCCTGAGTATCCCAACCCACTGCTGGCTGTCTTCCTTCCCTGCTCTCATTCTGCTTTCTCTTCATCTTCTTGAGTATCCACACATCACTGAAATCATGGAATCAGTTCTCTCCTTCCTTCCCGTAGGGTGACCGACTATCCGGGTTTTCCCAGGTCTGAGGGGCTTCCCTGGATACAGGACTTTCAGTGCTAAAAGCTGGACAGCCCAGGGACAATTGACCACTCTACGTTTTACCACATATCATTATAAGTACACAGGCATGAATTAAAAATATGTTTCAGGATGTGGCAAAGAGCTCTGGGCCAAAGGCTTGGCTATTAGGTGATTTGTCATTAGACTTATCAAACCATAAAATAAAGCAAAACAAAATGAAAAACTACAACCTACCGAAGGCTGCCCGGCACCTTACCCATTTCCGGTAAGTTCTATGTTGGGAGGAGGTTTATCAAGGTCACAGGAAGGTCTGCTTTCTGAGTCCTCGCATCTGTCTTCATCAGCGCTATCTTCTTCGCAGTCAGAATCCCCATTGCAAACCAAAGATTTGCTGATGCACTGACCTGTACGCAACAAAAGCCCCCACAAAAAATGAAAGAGGGAAGAAGGGAGGCACTACCTGGGATTAAAAAGGTTTTGTCCCCAACCACCAACATTGCACTTATAATCTAACATGAATTTGAGATAAATCCTCAGTGTCAAGGGAAAGACTGGTGATTATTTTGGTCCTCATTTTGCAACACACAAAACTGATTCTGACCTCAGCTGGACACAAAAGTGAAAATAGAATCTGAATTCAAATTCCAGGCTCTCACTCACAATCATCACACAGTTTGTCTGAATCCCCCACATTCATACAATATCAACCACTGGAAAGCTAGATCGACCTCCTGCCCTTCAGTTTTCTATTTCTTTTTTATAATCATTGACCAACATGCCAAAGTCCTGCTTTTCTTGATGATTTAGATATATAAGCTTTGAGAGCCTGGGAACTGGGTCAAAAGATTAAAACCAAACATTTCTTTAGCACCTACCCTGTGCAAGACACTCCTCCAGGTGTTGGGGTACAAATATGAATAAATAGGTATTTGTTGGGCTTTTCATATACTTTACAATCTAATAGGAAAGACTATGAAGACATAGATCATTATAACTCAGCAACATAATTGTTATGATAGACATAAGCCCAGGGTACCAAGGAAGCACTGGAGGGTACCAGATGATCTAGCCCCTGTGTGCCTCCCCAGTATCATCTCTAGCCAATCTCCCTACCAGCTTCCTACGCCCTAGTCATACTGGATCACTTGCATAAATAAAAGGTCAGGCTTGCTGTCATCTCCACTGACCTTGCACTTACAGTTCTCTCAGGCTAGAAGGGTTTTCTCTTCCTATCACTTACTTGTCCTTCAAGAATTAAATTAAACATCATCTCCTCTCAGAAATCCTCCCTACCCCACAGGCTACAATGCATGTCCTTCTCCTGTGTCCTCAGAGTATGCATCGCACACACTGTCCTGATAGTACAGCATGCACCTCACTATGCTTTCAATCTAATGCAACAAACATTTGTTGAGTCTACTATGTACCAGGCACTCCAAATGCAAAATGAAAGAAATATAATCCGTATCTTCAAGGAATTCACAGTCTACCAAGAGAGACATCCTGGCCAACAACTACTCCAGATTGCAGGTGGTGTTAACACCACCTAAATAGCTAAGATAAACACAGCCAATGGTTAACAGGTTAGCGTAAGGGGAGCCATCTTATAGAGGGGAACCGTGTTAGGACTATAAATGACCCTGACCCACAAGACACCCCCTTTTCCTTGTTATCGATGCTTTAGCTTGCACGTAGCTTAGAGAAGTACACATCTGCTTGTGAGAAATATGCAGGCTCTGCTAATTTTGTAGCCTTGGCTTATACATAGACCTCCCCATTCCAATAAGGCAATAACTTTGTTCTTTGAGCTTTTCCAGGGTTATTACGACCTTTGGGGAAAATCTCTCTGCTGGTATCTGTCACCAGTGACGAGAAAGCGATCCCCTGTAGTCTCAAGGACTATAACACCATTTGGTCAACATTCCGAGACCACTCCCTTCAGCGAGTTTGTCCTGTAGAACGGCTTCAAAATCTTGTAGTTTTAGGATGGTTCTTTAGGACACTAGTCCACCATCCTCCCCCTTGCTGAAAAGCTGTGGTAAAAAGACTGTTTCCCTCCTACCATCTTGCCCCTTGACTGTTGGCTTGTGTCGCGGCAAGCAGAAGACCCCTGTTGGCATTTACAGCGGTACAATGTACGTAGGGAAGACAGAGAAGTGATTTGTGAATTAGCTCTATCACTTGGGGGTTTAGGGAAGGCTTCCCAAAGGAGGTGTCATCCGATTTGGGTTTTGAAAGTAAAATACGAATTTGACAGGTATTTTTGAGGACTACTTTTTTTTTTTTTTTTCTGAGGAGGACCAGCCCTGAGCTAACATCTGCTGTCAATCCTCCTCTTTTTGTTGAGGAAGACTGGCCCTGAGCTAACATCCACTCCCATCTTCCTCCCCTTTATATGTGGGACGCCCACCACAGCATGGCTTGCCAAGCAGTGCCGTGTCCACACCCGGGATGCGAACCGCCAAACCCCGGGGCCGCCGAAGCGGAATGTGCACACTTAACCGCTGCACTACTGGGCTAACCCCAGGGACGACTTCTAACACAGGCATCATTTATGTATTATTTTACCCGTAAAACTTTATTATTTTTGAGAGAAGAGGGTATGTGTTTCATTTCTGTATTCACAACCTTCATCACAATATCTGGAACATAATAAGAATAATAAATGTTTGCTAAAGGTGGTTGAATTAATCTGACTGTACAATTGCAACGTAGACAATAGGTCAAATAAGACTCAGGGCCAAAACTATGCTTCAATCACCGCATGCATGGGGTGACCTGTATTGCTCCTTGGCTAGCTAATTAGACTTGCCTTTCTTATAAACATAATAATACTTTGGACAGTAAAGTCGTTTTTGCCCAATCTCAGTGTACATAGCAGACTTACTCTACATCTTCACCAAAAATGCAACATCAAGAACTGTTTGGGTCTGTCCACAGTCATATCTCTTCTCAGAGAGGCAAAGAGTATCCCCAACTTTATTACCAGATGCCTCCCCTTGCATTTGAAAGAATGATAGCTGAGTGTGTGATTAATATGCCAAGAAAAATCCTACTGATATTTAGGGAAAATTAATTTTTAGGCCAGTATAAATTCAGTAAAATTCAACAAATACATACTGAGCAAGTGAACCAAATAGCATTTGAATGCAAGCTCTGCACGCCAAGGCTGCGGAAAATAAATACCTGAGAAACACCTGAAACGCTCTCCACATCCCTCTTCCGTTGGACATCCTCGGGTAGGTTCACACGATTGCGTCTCAAAAGCGCTTCCTACACAAGGATGGCCCCCATACTGCCCATAAACAGCAATGGACCGCCTGCGAGTCTAAACACAAAACAAGCAGTGCTTTGTCATAGCTCCAGCTTCCTTTACCTGAGAAATGAAATCTGAGAGAAATTAATACAGTTGGAGAAACAATGTTCAGGAAATTGTCCTCGTGTCCTACAGAAGTAAAACCTCCAAAATCAATAAACCCACAGACCCGCTTGTCCTTGAGTCCAGTAACACTTGACTTATTATTTACAGAGCACTCCCACCCATATATTTATTCTCAGTGTTGGGCGCAAAAAAAAAAAAAAAAATTTAGTGAATCTTTAAGAAAGGAATTTGACAGAGTTAGCTGGCAAATATGCAAATAAGTTACAATATAAAATGATGAGTATTTTTGCCAAAGCTGTGTATCAAGAGCCAATTAGAAAAGTCAAAATGAATTTTGCCGGAGGGAGGGAAGGGTACTGGGGGGCGAGGGGGTGTTTGAGAGGAAGTGGAATTAGGGAAACCTTTAGAAAATGATTTGAGTGCTGGATGGTAAGCCTTCTTCAGGAAGGCAAGGCAAGGCAAGGCAAAACAATCCTGAGAGAGAGAAATATGCTAACACGGAAGTCAAATTCACAAAACAGAAGCCTAGGTACAGCTACCCAGGTGAAGGGACATCTACAATGGAATTTCACTAGACAATCTAAATCCTTGAGCTCTGAAATGGGAAATATGTCAAAGGCTAACTTCTCGGGCGGGGGGGGAGGGGGGAATACAGGAGAATTGAGGAAATCATCAAGCTAAATGAAAAACAACTAATTCGTCCTAAAATTCACTTAATCAATATAAAGACATGTATCTAATATTTAAGCAAAAAGAAAGATTTACAAAATCCTTTGCTCCCCAATGGCAACCAAAGGAGCATCTTTAAACCTCTTCCTGCACTCATCTCTTCCCCATTAATAAAAAATGAATGAAATCTGAGACTCCAGAGAATTTAAACCTTGAACAAAGACTAACAGGGTAGACTAGATATACAAACCAATGTTGAATCTATTCATCCATCCTAAACTAGGTTAGAAGTGGGGATTCCTTGGGACAAGGGGTCACAGTAATGAAATCTGAACTCTGAGCAGTTCTGCATCAGCCCGGGCCTGGTTCCGGCACCATTCATTGTGTCTCAGCCGAGGAGCCATGGAGGAATATGATTAGGAAATGAAACTTAGTGCAGTTTCTTGATAAGTTCTTAGTTTCCATATTTAATTCATGAAAACATCTCTCATATGTGGCTTGTTAATTTGTCCTTTTCTGAAGTTCTAAAGCACAGATTGTGTTTTTGGTATAAATAATGTTGTCCTTCTCCATATGCCAGGATGACCTTGATGGCTGCCTGCTCTCAGTGGTCTCATTCTCACCTGTCAAATTCTGATCTTATGACTGCTTTTTCATTTTCACTTGTCTCTTTCTGGATGAAAATTTTGCTTTTATAATCTAGGGATGTACTCATTGCATGATGACCTTCACTCAAAGAAAAAAATTACTGATAGGAAAAATACCTTCTATCTACTTCTATTCATTACTCTTTCTTAACTTCTTTCAATTAATAAAAAATGTTTTCTGGGGGCCAGCCTGTGACATAATGGTTAAGTTTGATGCACTCTGCTTTGGCAACCTGGGTTTGCGGGTCTGGATCCCAGGCACAGATATATACCACTCCGTAGCCATGCTAAGGTGGTGACCCACATACAAAATAGAGGAAGATTGGCACAGATGTTAGCTCAGTGACAATCTTCCTCAAACAAAAAGAGATTAGCTCGGCACTAATCTTCCTCAGTAAAAAAAAATTGTTTTCTGTGGTTTAGTGTTTGTTTGACTTTTGCCTTGTTATTCATGTAGCTGTGTGCCTGTAATAAGAGTTATCATCTATTATATTTGCCAGAAACCAAATTCTGCGTTTGTCACTTGTTTTGTAAACACCATTCATGTAGGTTCTCAATAAATGCTTGATGAAAATGATGATGCTTCAAAACAAAAATTACCTTCTGTAATATGGTTCTGTTATTGTAATAATTAAAAAATGATTTTTAAATACACATTTTTATCCTAAGTGAAAAAATATTTTATAAATATGGAATCATGTTGTACACCTGAAACTAATATAATGTCCTATTTCAATTATATATGAATACAAAAATATTGAACAACTCAGCTGTTCAGAACCTTTAAAACAAACATTATATTTTTGGAATTTATCCTAAGAAAATTATCAGAAAAGAAGACAGATATCTATGTACAAAAATGTTCATTAAAGTTTTATGTATAATAACAAAGAGTGTAAATAACCTAAATCTCAAACAATAGCAAGGCAGATAAACAAGACTGGCATATCCATATAAGGGAACATAATATAGCTATTAAAATTCATGCTGATAGTATAATGTTAGGTTGAAATAGTAGAATACAAAACTATGGTCAAATAATTCTATTTTTAAAAAATCACAAACACACAGAAAATAAATTGAAAGAATAAATACCAAAATGCTGTTATACTGGTTTCTTCTAAATGGTGGAATTATAAGTAGTGTTTTCTTTATTTATACTTTTCTATGTTTTCTCCAATGAACAAATTTGTAATAAGGAAAAAAGCAGACACGTTTTAGAAGTACTCTAGAAAATCCAGATCAATCTCATATTTTGTTTGTATTATTCAAGAAGTAAACTTTAAAACTTTGCAAATGTTTGACTTTTCTTTGTCATTCACTATTTGCTAGGTAGAACAAAGCAGCCATTTTGCTACTTGTTATTGTTTGTTTCAAATAAGAAAAGAAGTTGAACTCAGTAAATATGAAACAGATCTTGAATTATCTATGAACGTCATTTCATGCTATTCTTGTTTCTCTAATAGTTAAAGAATTAGTGAGTTGCTTTTAACTTTTATCCTATGTATATTTCTAGGCTCAACATAAGATTCAGAAAAGTCCTGCAAGAAAAATGAGAATGCAAAAATTACTTTATTACAATATTAATTATTAAACAAGTCATACTTTTCTCCATTCAAAATTACTAATTTTATTTTTGAGAAACATAAAAAATAACATTCAAAAGTTAATGCCATTTTGTCCCTACCTAAGCTGCTTCTGTAACTAAATCGTAAACAAAGTTTTTGAATGGTCCTACCTGAGTCTTGGTACAACCACTGCATTCTGACCAAGGGCCATAGGAAGCCCACTGGCAATTGACTGGAGAGGAGGCACTGTCAAATTGTCATAGAGCAGGTGGAAAAATGAGAGAGAGAAGACACAAAGAATAGTCAAAAGTTGTAAAAACTTGCTTCACAATTTTTTCCTAAGAAGTACCAATGGTATCCAAAATATATACAAATATATATGGAAGAGACCCACATTTTTTAGAAATTAATGTTTATTAAACATCTATAACGTAGCAGGCACTGTTTAGACACTAGAGTTGTAAACATAATAAAAGAGATAGGTCACCAACCATTGATAGAGGGGAGGACAAAGACACAGGTGTGTAAACAAATAATCATAATTCCATAATACAATCACAATCCATAACACAATATATCTAATTTGGTAGATTTCAAAACAGAAATGTATACAGTATAATGTGTTATGGAAATATAAATAAAGGAGTGCTCAGAGTTGGGAAGATAAGTAAGAACATATAAGAGGTAGATATTGTGACCCTTGAAAGGATTCAAATGATGAATTGAAGAGTTATACAGAAACTCTTAACAGGGAAACAAGAAGCTCTAAAAAACCCTATGAGAAGCAGGCACTAAAAATTACCAGAGGCTAAATGGACAGGAGTTTATTTTTAAATGTTCCCCCTGTTCATTTAGGCTACTTCTCAAGCACACACCCAAGCAGGGCCAATTTGAGCCTGAACAAGTCCACTCAAATAAAACACATGTGGAGAATAGATAGTTGGCTCTCATACAATGCTTCACTCCGGCTGTGTCGAGGAGGTCACATGGCTTAGTCCTATGAGATTAAGGGAGCCCAGCCTACAAGCACGTTTTACAAGGGAGAAAGGATTGAAGACTCCTGGTTTCTGGATTTGCAGTACCTTCCTAGCCTCCGAGACTTCTTGAGTCAAGGTGATTCGTGCTTATCTTAAGCCTGTCAGGTGACTCTGTAAGTGAGGAGTCTGCTTCCATAGTGTGTGCCTCAGGTGCTTTTATGGAGCCAACCTTGCTAACCTGTAGCCTCGACATGGCACCAATGATCCAAATGCCTTAGCATCTTTGACCCATACACAATCTAAACTTGCTGTTTTTCTATTTTGTGAACCAGGGACAGGCAGAGGTCTTCCCCAAACACCGAGGCTTAGGTAGGGAAGCTCACTTGGCCTCATCCCCTCTGTGCTCCCACAGCACACTGTGCAAGCCTCTCCCAGAACCCTTAGCACATTTGTATTGAAATCAGCTGTTTCGAGACCGGAATCACCCCTGGACTCTCAGTGCTGTCTTGGTGCTCTTTGTACCTCATCGTCACCAGCAGAGCTCCTGACACATGTTCTGATAGCCGGATAAAGTGAACTGACCTGGTCCCATCCCATCAAACTGACATGGAAAGCAAAACAAGGCCATGGGCAGATGATGCTGGCTTTGTTCCAGGTCTCAAGAGCCAATAAAACTATTTTCTTAAAAAGCTCTCAACCTTTAAAATCCAAAGAATATTTTGCGATGGCTGCATTTAAAGATCAAATTCTGCTCTAAGATGTGTAGGCTGTCTGCAATTCTCTGAATTACAGGTAAAACCATGGTGCTGGGACAGGCAGAAACCCTTGAGGTATTTTTAGTCTTCACATTTCTTCCTTACAGGGAATAAAATAAGATTAAAAATAAAATAAGCTTTTGCTATCATTGCCTTTTCTCAAAGCATGGAAAGATAAAGTGTTGAAGGGATAAGTATGCTCAGGCTGCAATGTAAAATTCAGGCCACAATAAAGAATGTCCTAAGAATAAAAAAGTAATTTTTAATTATTTCCACACACAATCCAAACAATTCTTACCTTGAAAAGACTTGGAACTCTCCTATAAATCCCACCAAGATGAGTAAACTTATTGCCTGGGTGAAAAAAAAAAAAAAACCCCAATAAAACATGATTTTAGTCTGCATTTCTTTAATGAGTTGAAACTGAATACATTGGTACCAATCAAGATTTGTGAGTTGGGAAGATAAACAGTGAAGAACCATGGAGAATGTTCGATGACTCTGTTTGTCTTTTAAGTTTCCATTTTAAATAAAGGTTTATTATAATTCTGCTGAGCTCACCTTCTACTATTCATTTCTGTAAAGACAACTAGGGGCGGGCGATGTCATGGACTAACAAATTGAAAATGTTCTCTAGAGTTAAATGGTTCCAAGCATTTCTTAGAGTCCCATCACCTTTAAATTCCTTTCTCCACTGTCTCCTCTAACTTCAGCGCCCATGAGGACATCCCGAGGGGAGAAAGCCTGCAAGAAAGAGCAGAGCCAAGGGCTGAGGAGTTAAAAGGGAAATAAGCTTCATAAATGAAGAATCGAAAGGTGAAGCACATCCCTCGCCGCGGGGGTGGTGAAGCTCCTGTACTCCTTAGTTCTGTGGGTGGCTCCTCAGTTTTAAAACACCTCTGAGGCCTTTGATAATCATCGCTACATGATAGCACCAGCCTAAATACTGAGGATCTGACAGGTTACAAAATTGTACATAAAATGTGGTTACATTTTGTTTGAAAAATCAAACATGCACTGAAAACAAATCTAGAAAGAAATATAACAAAGGATAATAGTTCATTTCTGGCTGTGAAATTATACATGATTTCTTTTATTTTTACTTTTATGTATTTTTCTACTTTGACAACTGAAGTGGGGGAATACAATTCAAATCTTTCGTAGAGACTCTCTAAGATAACAAATGCATTCGATTCATAGCCCAGTGTAAAAGTCCTTAAAATCATCTCACCCTACATTTTAACAGGTCAGTATTCTTTCTCTTCCCCCTGACCAGCCCAAACCTCTTTTGTCTCAATGTAGCTGTGGAGTGGCTTCCCAACTTTTTTTCCAGACTCTTCTACTAGCCATTCTAGATCACCCATCCTCTTATTAGGTATCTTTCTTTCAGTTGTAAAATCCTAGTTGCCTCCTTCTGCTTTTTACAGTTCTTAAAATCTTTTACTCTATTATTCTGATTACTTTAACCAAAAGGGCAGAGAGGTACCCACAGCTATGAGCATCCTGGAAATGAGTGAAAAATGCTGGGGGATGCCATGAATGCTTTTCTGACTTTTCAACAAATATGTGAAGCACATACTGTAAAGCAATACCTTTTAAAGGTTTTTTTTTTTTAAATTATAAACTTCGTGTTTTTTTTCTTTTTCAACAGCATGTCTTTACTCTGTGCTATGTCAACTTGTTTCTCTTGCCCCTGGGAAATCCTATCTCATAGCTTTACTAGTTACTCACAGGCATTAACAGTCACATTTTCAGAAAATAAAAATTTTGGGGGCCGGCCTGGTGGCACAGTGGTTAAGCGCGCACATTCCACTTCAGCAGCCTGGGGTTCACTGGTTAGGATCCGGGTGCAGACATGGCACCGCTTGACAGGACATGCTGTGGTAGGCGTCCCACGTATAAAGTAGAGGAAGATGGGCACGGATGTTAGCTCAAGGCCAGTCTTCCTCAGCAAAAAGAGGAGGATTGACAGCAGATGTTAGCTCAGGGCTAATCTTCCTCAAAAAAAAAAAATTTTTTTGAAACAATCTAATAGTCAAATTTCGATTTATCATCCAATTTTAAATTTCTCTCCGACTCCCAGTTCCCAGATGTTTATAATAGGGGAGGGATGGGGTCCACTTCAAAATCCTCACTGTGCTCTTCTGCATCTCTTCCTCACCTCCCCAAGCTGCCTCTGTCTTCTTCAAAGTCAGAGAGGGATGAGTGAGATGGACAAAAGCCAAAAAGTATATTGTTTGACTGATCCAGCTAGTCTGGTGATGGTAAATCAGGGTGTACTGGATGTTTGAATGTCAATTCTTTTTCTCTCACAGTGTTTCTGTGGCTCCTAGGGTATCCCCTCTGGGATCTACAGCCACTGTTCTCTGGCACAAATGATTCATCTCTTTGTTCATCACTCGTGCCTCTCACCAGTGCCTGCTTCCTGGGAGTCCTTTCCATACTGATGCTATCTGTTAGGGTTGCTTCATCCTGCAGGCAGTGTCTCACGCAGAGCCTCTGACAACCCAAGTCTGGCTCCTTTCCAAAGGTCCACTTCTGGTCCATAGGATACCTGCACACATCCTTGGCCTGTCAAATTCTGAATGCCAAGGATGTAACCAATAATGCTGTGTTGATTTCCTCCATTAAAGGCAGGCCAGTCACCAGCCTGTGCCTTTAGAATGCCTCAAACGTGGGTCAGGTATCATTCTCCATATCCCTCATACTCCAAAAGATATGATCTTGCATACTCTTGGGGAATGGGATGGCCAAAGGGTCACCAGACAGGTTTAGGGCTACTCTTCTTGTAATACTGCATTGAATGTCCAACATCTCACTTTAAAACATGGGGGTACTGACCACTTACTGTTCTTGGCCTTTGACCCTCAGTCAAAACAAGCATGAGGAAAAATCCATTTTTAACATTCTATTACATGTGTTTTAAAAGACTGCCAACCAAGTTTTAGGGAATATACTTTTCTTCACCAGGAGTGCCTTTGCCAGCTCCTTCCTCACATACATCCTCCTTATTGTAACCCATGAAGATACACATAGTACAAGGTCAGGTCTGTTCATGAGTTACACAAGCTGAATCTATTAACCAAAAGAATTTCTTGAATATGTGCTAGCCGAGGACCTAGAAAGGAAGCAGTTATCATTCCTTGCCTTTGCAAAGAGTATCTCATCAAACGGACATGATAGAACAATCCCACATCAATAAACAGTCACATTAATGACAGAGATAGATATACATCTAAGGTGACTCTATGAAAGAATTGTTTAGTTGAAAGGATATGCAACCTTTGTCCTGTGTAATGTAGCTAACCTGGAACTACATCCCCCAGAATTCTCTTCTCTTCTTTCTTATCACCAAATGAGCATGAGCTCTACCTCCTTCCTCTAATGTGTTCCAGCTACAAACATTATCTCTATGCTTCCAGTTTCTCCAAGTTTGGTCATTTGTGTCTGTCTACTTAACCATGAGCCCTTTTAGGGTAAAAAACAAAGTATTAATTTCTGTAGTATACCCTGGATTCCACATACCTAAATTCCAAAACATAGTATGGAAAAATCAAATCTAATTCATCATGTCCTAATTAATATCTTGATCAAAAATTTAGAACATAGGGCATTCTCCAGATGAATAAGGAAGATTTTAAAATCAGCTTACTTACATTTTTATTAGAAATAAACATCAATTTGCAACACTTCTAATAATAAAGAAATGCTAAACGGCACAATAATATGATTGAGCGTTTCATAGCCGTCAGAAGCATGTTATAGATTGTCCAAAGAACATATCCATATGATATAAAGAGTAAAAAGACCCAGATCCAATTTGATAACAATTTAGTGAAATATATTTTGTACATATTCATTTAAAAATCTGAAAAGAAATAGATTAAAATATTAACAACAGTTATCTCTGGGTGGAAAAATAATAGATATTTTCTTCTTTTTGAATTTATATTTGCCAATAAGGTAGCATCTGAATCTGGAAAAGAACATTTTTTTAAAGGCTCAAACAACAACACAGTACAACTGGTAGAAGACAGCTGATAACATCAGATCAGCTCTAGGTGTGGTGAGGAAGCAGAGAGGACTTGAGCTAGGACATCCCTGTGCCTGACCACATCCCAGCCCATGGGAATGATGCCTTACGTTGGCAAATCCCAGGTTCATCTCACAGGGAGGGGAGAATAAAAGGCTAGGCCACAGCCAGCTCAGAGAGAAGCCCCTTCCACACTGAATCCTATGCAAAGGATACCAAGAGAACCAAGGGGATTCTGGGACTACCTCTCTGAATTTAGTTCATGTGAATAATGGGGGAAGGAGACAAAAGAATACTCCCCCTTAAAAGGCCAGACCTGGCAGTCATTTGTGGCTGTGTCTTCATAGCCCAAGTTTTCCTTCTCTGAAATGTATCACAAAAGCATGCCCTTCAGGTTTACTGTAAAAGTGTGACTATCTGCTTCAAATATAGGTGAGAACTCTGCATGCAACTTGCAGGAAAATAATTTCTTTATTTGTTGATATTGTATCAGCCAATAGACAGAGAAAAGTATATTTATTATCACAAAAGAAAAATACCATAATAATCAATGATTGTGAACATATTTTTAAGCACAAAACAATTATTAAGATGTCTCATAAAATAAATAGGGAAATTCATTGATGATTAATACAAATATTAGAAGAAAGAATGTTAATTAGATGATTAGGAAAAGCACCATATTCTTTTTGAGCTAACAAATTTTCTAAAGTTCTAAATAAAAATACAAGACAGAGTAATAGAGATTAGATTAGATTATAATCCTAACTTTGTAGGGTTAGTTGATATTCTAACATCATAACATTAAACAAATTAACTTTGTAATTTGTGTTTAATTTTTAATTATTTAATGCCATGTAATTTCACGCATGAGTTATTCAGGACCTGTATATGGCTCCTGCTCCAACCCCATTAGAAAATGAGCATAGATTCAGTATTGCAAATGGATGGCACAGTGACCACAAAAGCAATCGAGCAGTTGACAGGGCTCAGAAATTACTGTTCCAGTCTTATAATACAAAATTTTTAAAGTTTAAATGCCAAAATTTGCAGTAATAAAATTGTAGTAGCAATTTCATTTTATTTTTGCATACTAGAAGTCTAGTCTATGATAGTTATTTCTGCCTTTGGCCATATCTTTGGTTGAATAGTACTTTTTTTAAACATTTAGCCATTTTGCATGCGACCAACATGTGTGTTTGGTAAACATTCAATTTCATTCCTTTTATCTGTATCTTCTACTGTCACAATCCTGACGCTTTCATCCAGGATTCTAAGTTCTGAAGTTCCAAGTGTCTAAATTCACTTTTCCATAAAACTCTTAGATAAGTCAAATCACCAGGGGCTCATTGCATGGCTCCAAATCAAACAAAATCCACTGGAGGAAGTTTTTCCCTAAGAAATAACAATAGTACTATTGTACTTCTTAACGGTTTTCTCAGGGCTTTCATAAACATTGTCTCCACTCTCTGATTCCCAGACTTCTGAACCAATATTTTAACTGCAAGACAAAAAAAAGGAATTCACCCTGGCTGAACTGTTAAATACATTAAGTAAGGATTTTTTAAAAGTCACCCTTAGATCTTTCTCTTTCTTTCTTTCCCACGTGTTTTCCTTATTTGAGTTCTTTCAGTTAAGTCTCTTTCCCTGTTGAGAAAGCTTAGTTTACAAAAGTAATTAAATTGTTATCTTACCTTCATGTTTGGGAAAACACTCAGGACAGAAGAGAGGAAGAAAATCTCCAGTTTGTGTCCCCCATGAATTTCACCATCAGGAAGAACCCAGCAGTCTGCTCCCTCCCTGTCTCTCCCTGCTGGGGGTTAATTTGGCACCGATATATACAGCAAGTGGTTCTGAAACTCAGCTCCTACCCCAATCAGATTCTCCGGCAACACGGAAGAGTCTGCGCCTGTACTCAGTCTGTGTCTTGAAGCCAGATGCATCTTATCAATTTACACAGGCCTTAGATTCAGCCAGCTGGGGCTGTTTGGAAGTGTAGTTCTGAGAAAACATCAGTAAATCAAGAAAAGGAGCAAATATTGTCAGTGCCATGTTTAAGTGATTTTCAACCAAATAACACTCTGTAAGGCCAGGGGTAAGCCTCCTTCCTGTTTCAGTCTACTGAACTAAGCAGCTATTGTCATATTCTCTTAAAGGATGTTGTACACCAGACTGAGATTAAACACTTTGCGGGAGAAAAGATCTAAATGCAGTTCTGTCACTCAAAATGTAAATGAAACATTCTGGAGTGGAATTTCTCCCCACCCCTCCCCCCAAAAAATATATATAGCCTAACACACTATAATATCTATCTCTTCATGCTTGACTTCTGCAGAAGGATCAAAAAGAGCATCATTTTTTTGTTGAGGTTATGACAGTTTACAACATTGTGAAATTTCAGTTGTACATTATTATTTGTCACTCAGCCTATATATGTGCCTCTGCACCCTTTGTGCCCACCTCCCACCCTCCTTCCCCCTGGTAACCACTAAATAGTTCTCATTTTCCCCGTGTTTATTTGTCTTCCACATATGTGTGAAGTCATACAGTGTTTGTCTTTCTCTCTCTGGCTTATTTTGTTTAACATAATACCCTTAAGTTCCATCTATGTTGTTGCAAATGGGATGATTTTGTCATTTTTTATGGCTGAGTAGTATTCCATTGTATATATATATGCCATATTGTTTTTATCCAATCATCAATTGATGGGCACTTAGGTTGCTTCCACATCTTGGCTATTGTGAATAATGCTGCAATGAACATAGGGGTGCATAAGTCTCTTTGAATTGCTGTTTTCAAGTTCTTTGGCTAGATACCCAGTAGTGTGATAGCTGGATTGTACGGTAGTTCTATTTTTCACTTTTTGAGGAATCTCCATAGTGTTTTCCATAGTGGCTGCACCAGTTTGCATTCCCACCAGCAGTGTATGAGGGTTCCCTTTTCTCCACAAGCTCTCCAACATTTGTTATTTTTTGTCTTAGTTGTTATAGCCATTCTGATGGGTGTAATGTGGTATCTCAGTTTAGATTTGATTTGCATATCCCTGATGATCAGTGATGTTGAGCATCTTTTCATGCACCTATTGGCCATCTACATATCTCCTTTGGAGAAACGTCTGTTCATATCTTCTGCCCATTTTTTGATCAGACTATTAAGAACATCATTTTTTGCAAACATATTTAAAGGCATCACTAATTTTCTGAAGAACTTCCCTTAATCTTTTGATATTCAGATAATTCTGTTGGAAACTTCTCATCATGGTAGCCATCAACGTCCATTTTCTCTTCTTCAGTTGTTGCCTTATTTTACTCTGCCAGATCTCCTTTTCCACGGCTTTGCATTGATTCTAACAGTTCTCCAACATCACTTTCATAGATTTCATGAAACGCTGCATTTTTGGTCAGATTTCAGATTTTTTATTTAAGTTGAGGTACAGTTTTATGTGCATGGTTTGGCCAAATGTTCTGATGCTTGCTACTAAGCCGATATGGGTAGGAGAACCCCAAGTGTTAGGTAGGAAAGGAAATTTGAGTTGAGAGTAATTTTACGAGTAAACATTCCATTAGTGAATATTTTCCAGTTTTAATGATTTTTGTCTTTCTGTATCTAAAGACCTTGAACAATAGAGACCTACCCCTCCCCTCCCCTCATAAACTGAGTGTGGTCTTCCAGGGACAAATCTTCCACACCTTTTGTTCAAACCATCAGTGGTTTGTGTGGAAGAAATTTGCCACAGAGAAGATGATCCCTGATTCCTGAGAAATGTTTTTTTTATTCAACTCCAAGCGCATGAATTCCAGATGTCAGGGCTTATCTTAAGTACTAAGTGTGGAATTCTACATTCAATGGCTGTCTTAGTTTGGGTTCCACCGGAAGTAGATTCTGAGACAAGAATTCAATTGCAAGCAGGATTTTTTTTGCGTTTTGGGTTTTGGTTTTTGTTGGTTTTGAGGGGGAGTTTCTTGAAGGGAGTTGTTGTCGTTGTGTTGTTTTGTTTTATTTTTGAGAAGTGGTCCTAGAAAGCACTGCTGAGAGGTGGGAAAACGAGATTGGGGAGGAAAGAAATCAGTCAAACGCACTTTATCGTGCAAGATACGATTGTGGCAATTAGAGCTCAGTCTAATGAGGAAATCTGAGAGACACTGCAGAGCACATCTCAGAGTTATCCCAACTAAAGGGTAAGCAAACTGGGCAAGGGGCTGGTCCCATGGCTGAGTGGCTGAGTTCGCGACTACGCTTTAGTGGCATGGGTTCTGCCAGTTCGGATCCTGGGCGAGGACCTAGCACTGCTCATCAAGCCATGCTGGAGCGGTGACCCACATAGCAGACCCAGAAGGACCTACAGATCAAATATACTGCTATGTACTGGGGGAGATTTGGGGAGAAGACCAAATTGGCAACAGATTTTAGCTCAGGGCCAATCTTTAAAAAAAGAAAACCAGGCAATATATCTACCAACACTCTGTCTGTTGTGGGTTGAGGATGGCTCTGGACTCATCAACTCTCTGACACTTCCAGCTTGCCCTGGGGGTAGGCTGAGCACATATCTGTAGCCAGAACAAAAAGGCCTTCAAGTAGAGAGTTGCAGGTGTTTGCAGTACTCGCCAGTATTTGCCTGTCACGTAGAGGCGAGTGCTGAGGGCACAGAGGCAAGACACCAAGAGCACCTGCTACAGCAGCTTTTCCTGCAGGCGTGCATGCATTCATTTGTTCATTCTACATTCAACAAATACTTACTGAGGATGCAGAACATGATAAGCTCTGGGCTTTGATAGATAGAAGCCTTGAGCCATATCCTTCTTTATTTTCATTCCTTACGTATTATATAGATCATATTAGCCTGTTTATAGAGTAACCATAGGCTAGAGGATGGATCACATGCAAACACATGTACCTATGATAATTTAGGACTTGACTTGTTCAGTTCCCAGAGATTGTATTCCAGAGGTTATTTAACTCTAAAAAGTTTACAAATACTTCCTTTCCCCGAATGCTTTGCAGTCTTACATATTTGCTCTTGTGTGAACAGTATTTCTTCTGTCTGGAATTTCAATGGAGAAGCCATTGGAAGATGGCATTAAGTAGAAGTGGGAGCCACACTTTGGGAAATGTGACTGCCAGCATAAGTTGCATGGACTTTATTCAAGGGACAATGGGAACTCACACACTGGAAGTTTATTTCTTTTTTCTTATGTTGCCAATCTTCTTCTGTTTGCTGGAGGAAGAGGGACCCTGAGCTAACATTCCTGCCAATCCACCTCCACTTCATATGTGGGATGCCACCACAGTGTGGCCTGACAAGTGGTGCAATGTGCGGGTCCGCACCCGGGATCTGAACTCAAGAACCCCAGGCAGCTGAACTTGAGGGCGCGAACTTAACCACTATACCACCAGGCCAGCCCCATCAAGTTTTTAGGAAGTTTTAAGGAAAGAATAAAAGTGGTGCTTTAGGATGACTGAAACAATAGTAGTGTGCAGACTACATGGAAGAGGTAAGGCGGGGAGGCAGGAAGTGTGATTCAGAATTGATTTCAGTAGTCAGACAAGGGCAATCAAGGCCTCACTTAGAAGGAGCAGACAAAGAACCAGAGAATTCACAAGGCTTTGTGGTTAAACATGGTTTCATGTCTGATTGACTGAGAAAATTGGAAGAATTTAAGAACAAATTAATGAAGGAGAGAAATAGGAAGTTGAAGAGCAAGAGGTGGCTTTGAAGAGGCGACATTTTTATTTTGGAGAAAACGTCCGTCCCGTAACTGGAAACGTGGATCTCTTTGGGAAGAAATACCTTTGATAGGGCCCTAGGCAGAGCCACTGGCATGAGGGTAAAGAACTGAAGCCATGGGAGACTGACCACAATGAAGTATAAAATCAGATGAAACGCCGCTATTTGGGGAGCAGGAAGAAAGAGAAAAGCCAAAGAGGAGAAAGGTTACGGAAGGAGAAGGAAAACCAAAATAATGCAGTGTCAGGCCAATTCAGGAGGATTTCAAGGAGAGGTCAGTCAACAATGACAAGTGCCATATGGAGATCAAAGCGAAGGAGTATTGAGGGAAGACCACACCACTCAGCAGTTAAGCCACAATTAAAACACTGTGGATAAACTTAGAACAGAGTTTCCCAACATATTTTCCACTCTGGTACTTCAGGAAAAAATAATTACTTTTGTGGTTAAGCACATGTAAGAAACTGTGTATATTACAGAGCAGGGTTTCCTCAACCTCTGAATTACTGACCTTTTGTGCCTGATAATTCTTTGTTGGAGGGACTGGGGGAAGCTGTCCTGTGCATTGGAGGACGTTCAGCAGCATCCTTGATCTTGACCCACTAGATGCCAGTAACACCCTCCCCAGTCATGACAATCAAAAACGTCTCCAGACATTGCCAAATGTCCCCTGGAGGCAAAATCACTCTCTCTTCCATTGAGAACTACTATTATAGTTTCTACCCCCAGCAAATGCCCAGCCTTAGATTCACAAAGCACAGTGCAGAGCGCATCCTAAATTAAACGTTCTGGAAGTTCTACACCAAGTTAAACTTTTAAAAACTTTTTTCAAACCAGAATTTCACAAATTCATGTGACTCCAGAACTTGTATTTCTAACAGCCCCCTGTTCAAAACTGGTATATATGACACGCTTTGGCAAATGGTGTCTGAGCCGATACAGCATCAGTAGAGGGGAAGAGCAGATTTCTGCCAGACTGGGGAAGGGCCCACAAGGGCACAGCCCTCTCCCCATGTCCTACATGACACACTCCCTAATCCTCATTAGTCCTCGCTGCCCTGGGTAGCATGTCAAAAACTGTTAACATCCTCAGACTCTAATGAAACTATTAGGCCACTGATGATATCAAGAAGTTGTTCTGGTCCACCACAGGGACATATTTGCAAACATTCAACAAGCCCATTTCACTTACTAGTCATTTTGTTTCTTTCTAAATTGTTCCAACAGATTCCTCTAACTCTGGAGGCATAAGAATGAATTCACTGGGCAAGAATAAAGCCTCCTTTTCTCTCCTCTATTGAGACTGATAAGGTCAAAATGGAAACTTCCAGGGGTTGGAGCAAAGAATCACAGCACCCTCTAGTGGCAGGCATGTTCCTATCCCTTGAGTAAAAGAACAGCCTTCGGTTCTGGCGTGAAGGGACTTGGGGTAAGGGGAGAAATGTTGAATCTTCTTAAGCTCCCAGTCAAGTGCTTAAGCTAATAAGTACTCCAGGTGGTATCTCTTTTTCCATTAAAGTGTCACTGTGTGAAT